TGAGCAAAGCTGAAGACAGCCTGTTCCCTTCCTCCTGTTTGCCACATACAGAACCAGTGACACAATATGGCCCCTTGAGTTTCCAAACCATATGCAATTTAGGGGCAACCAGGAAAGGATACTGGCTTCCCTGGTAACTCAACTGGTAAAGAATCTGTCTGCAATGCAGGAGACCCCAGTACAATTCCTGGGTCGGGAAGATCTCCTGAAGAAGGGAAAGGCTACCCACTCCAGTATTCTGGCCTGGAGAATTCCATGGACTGTATAGTCCATTGGGTCACAAAGAGTTGGACATGACTGAGGGACTTTCACTTTCAGGAAAGGATACAGAAAAAACCCAGCCCTATTCTCTTTGGAAAGGGCACCTGCTAGGTGCATGGAGTTTGTTCTGTTCCCACCTCTGTGGTCATCTCAGAGGGGGGCTAACACAATCGCCCCCCCAGAGCCCAGCTGCATCTCCCGCTGTCTGCAGCCCCACTGCCCACTTTGCCTGGACTCCTGCTGCTCCCATCCTAGCCCCACACCTCCAGAAGGTGTCTGTGGCCTTGCAGCATCCCAGCTCAGGGTCACTCCATGTACTGTCCTCCCGAATCACCATCACATACTTGGAGAATCACCTAGAATTGTAATTGCTCTAGTCTTAGAGCTCAAAGCAGTTTTGGTAGGCCATTATATTTTATATCCCTTCATTGTATAGGTGACAAAGGTAGGCGTCAGTGCGGCTATGAGACTTACCCAGACTTACCTTCTGTCTATTAATGATGGCGTGAATTAATGATTACCTTTTAAACTTCCTATGATGTTAGTAGAAAATGTGCTTTTTAAAAGAAATGTTACCAAATGCTTTTCCTCACAGGAAAAAAAGGGCTACTACCATCATTTCCTCTTTATTTCTAGGGTACACTTAAGAGTTATCATCAAGAGCATTTTGCATTTGCAAGTTTCCAGATAAATTATTTTCTCATATTACCACTTACTATTCAAATGTTCACTGGGTACCAACATTCTGGAAGAATGGTTGTAACAAATTAGATGCAAGCTGTATCCATATAGCCAAGTCGAAGTACAGTGATGCTACAGCTGAACACATAGACGGTATGTGGAACAGCCCACTTGGGTCTTTAAAAACAGCAATGCCCATTGACTTGCATGTATCGACAATAACTGTCTATTTACCCCCCGCCCCGACGCTTGTTGTACAGAAGTCACTGTGTCAGTAAAAGCATGAAGCGAAGGGGATGTCACCAGAACCAGAAATGGTTATGAAGTCAAAGAATGAGGTCACAAGTGGTCACATCTTCCTTCTTATTAATCAGGTTAATTTCACAAGCACCACATGACTGAGAAGCCATGATAAGCCCACCCGGTCAGAGAATTGCTCACACCTTGCCCAGTACTAGTTCCAATCCTCTACCCACTACTCCCCAAATCCTGCCCCAGAAAATTCTACTTGGGCTCACAAACCAGTAGGACTTGGACAAACTGACTTACAGAGAAAAACACTAAATTAGTTGCCAACATTTAGGAAAAAAAAAAAAAATAGGAGATTGAACATACAACTCTAGATTTCTGGCTTCTTAAGGAAAAGAAAAAATCAAAGAACTAGATCTGTGAGTCAGCAGCGCACCGGGCCAGCACTCAGGAGCTGCGGGGCTGCTGTCCACGGAGCGGGGCCAGCCCTCTTCCAGTGGAAACATCCCCACCATTGTCTTAGGAATGTCTTTTTTACCCATAACTTGCTCTGCCTATTCTTAAGGTTTCCCAGTGAATTTCGTGGGTTAGAAAAGTGTTGGAATATCATGCTTTGGGGATGGTATATTTTACACGGGTCATTTCTCTTCGGGCTAAGAATAATGGAAGGCTGAGACGATGTAGATGGAAAATTCAGGCCTAATAAGCTTACTTTTGAAGTAAATATTTTCGTTTAGAATCCTCATATTGATAGTCCTCCCAGGATCTAATTTTCTGGGTAGCTGATTAAGTCATTTTCAGCCTATACAAGCACAGTCACAGAGAGAGAAATTGACAAGAGTCTACAGATGCCTATAAATATGCTATATGTTGTTGTTTAGTTGCTCAGTTGTGTCCAACTCTTTGCAGCCCCATGAGCTGTAGCCCGCCAGGCTCCTCTGTCCATGGGATTTCCCAGGAAGGAATACTGTAGTGGGTTGCCATTTCCTTCTCCAGGGGATCTTCCTGACTCAGGGATCAAACCCGTGTCTCCTGCTTGACAAGTGGATTCTCTACCACTGTGCCACCTGGGAAGCCCCGTGCTACACTTTACAGAGTTTCCAGATCACTTAAACAACCCCATAGCAGCAGCTCAGCTAGCTCAAGATGTTGAAAAGCAGTGAAAAGTTCTAATTTGTTTTTATTCCCCTGGGCTGGTACAAGTCTGTGTGCTGTGGTCTTAGCAGGGAAACTCAGCCCATGTTAGCAGAATAGAAAATGACAATGTGATTGTATTGGGATCTCTCCACAAAGTCATCGTTTCAGCAGGAAAATATATTGTCTACTTATTTACAAGGGTTAGAGCCCAAAGTTGTGTACGAAGGGAATGATACATCAAAACCTCAGCTGAAGAAAATTATAAAGCATTCACGTGGACTAGCCAAGATTAACCGGGACTGCCAGAACACTTTCACCCATATGATGTACACGTTAAAAACCTGATGATATGATGAGACGAAGACACATAAAACAGATATTTTCCTGGCACAGAACCCTCCTGTAAACCTGGAGATATGTAAATAACCCATCTCAACCATGACTGGGGCAAGGTGTAAGGATTGAAAAAAAAAAAGCCATTGGATTGCATAAGAGATTTCCTCTTCATGCGTTGCTCTTCCTGCCAGCATCTGGGTCTGAGAGTGTTGCATCAAGCCATGCAATCATTAAGATGGAAAAAATTAAAATTAGGAGATATATTATTAGCTGGAGGACATCTATACAAAGATGGATGTAATTGTGGGAGGATACAGACTCCTTTGTCATGTCAAGAAAAGTTAGTCTTTAAACAGATACAGATATTCTCAAAGATTTCTAAAGGAATGAGAATCTGTCATTGAGTCTCCATTATTCTTCCACAGCATGCTGCAAACTCTCAGAGGTGAAGGCTTCTGTACAATACTATGATATTGCTCTTGAGCCCTTGGTAAAGGTTGCCACTTCGTCTTACCCGAATACTTTCTGATTGGGGTCTGCTTTATGTTTTACTTACTCCTGTGATTGACTTCTCTTCCTTAATGTTATAATGAACAGAAGCCCTGACAAGCTAAGTCAGGGCATCTCAGAGCTTCCCTTTGGGTTTAAATTCTCCAGAATAGGAAGAACTGGCAAATGAATGAATGGCTAGAGCAGTGCTTTTCACCTGTCTGTAAATACACGTTTGCATCTCTGGGTAATGGACTGCCTTGTGAACAAGTAATTATTTAAAGTTTACTTTTAACCTACACATCAGAAATGGAGATATGGAATGGCTTAGGCTTTTCTCTCAACCTCTCTCCCTCTTTGATTTTCAAGGTAAGGCAAATTAATTAATGTGCACTTTTAGATTGAACAAATTATTAAGACCCAGCTGTGTCTGTGAAATTATCAGTTGCAATGCAACACTTGGGGCTTGTTAATGCTTTTTTTGGCATGAAGAAGAGACACACAGGTATCTAATATTAAGTGTGTTCCAAAAAGCGTCAGTTAGCAGTTTGTTTGCCAAATTAACTTTCAAAGACAGGTAAGTTGCTAAGTTTGACTTTATTACACCCAAATCTTAAATGATTGATGGACTACCATGAAATAGCTTTGTTCAAAAAAGACAACCTTTGGCAGGCTACTTCAAAGACTTTACAAAGATAAAAAGATATCCCCATTTTACATTAATTTCCCTGATCAACAGTTATTTGAAATATGCCTGAGAATTATGCAATATGTTCTGTCTTACGACTTTCCTTTCACTGTATCCAGCAGCCCCACATGGGAGTGTTTCTACTTGTAATGATGTAGGAGATTTTTTTCCTACACATAAAGAGCATCTTTAAGAAAATGCAGATGGGTAGAACAGTATATCTGGCATTTTTATTCACTACCATTTCACCACATCTGACACTAACATATACAAAGATAGGGTTTTTTCAAAGTCAACAATACTATTCAGGATGTGGTTTCAGATGCTGCCTGTAACATTCTCCACAGAGTCTGAAAGGATCCATTTCTTTCTTTTTAAACATAGATTGTGTGATTTTATTTATGTCTAAGGTCACTATAGAATTACTGTAGAATTACATAACCAGGAGTGAAAATCTCAACTAAGGGGTCAAGGGGGTAATGGGAAATCATTGAACTGAGCCTGTACAGGTGCTGATGGTCAGGTGGAGTGGTGGTGTTTGTGGCTGAGAGCATAATGCTTGAAGGGAACTGTCATTTAGGTCACTATGTCAGATATTGTGATTTTTCTAAAGAAGGGTAGAAACCTTCTAATTTTTCAGTATTGGGGAACTATTTCAAAATTCTGAAAGATCCTGGACTGGCCACATAAAACATGTCTGGGGATGGCATGCTGCTCTAAACCTGCTGAGAAGAAAAAAAAGTATTTACATTAAAAGGGGGGAAAAAAGCATTCTCTATTATCCACATTTTTTCAGAACTCATTTCGTGATTGTGAAATAGTCACACATAATGGCCTCACGATGGCTCAGGGCAAAAGAACCAAGACTCTTGAGTAACTGGTTTGGGAGAAATTTTGCAAAAGGGCTCCTATGCATGAGGGAGGAGGGTGCAATGGGTGATAAGACACAGGTTCCTTCTGCAAAATACCATCACGGGTGTATCCACAATAAGAAAGATAGAACACAGCACAGCCCCTTTCTCTAAAATTTATCTTCAAGGCCATTTGATTTTATGGAATGGAATAAAACTGACTTGCAAAAAAAAGAAAAGAATAAAAATCCCTTCTTTGCTCTTTGGCAGGGTGAAGTAGAGAAGTAAAGTCTCCCCGCTGAACTACTATGAGGTCAGAAGCCTTGCTGCTATATTTCACACTGCTACATTGTGCTGGGGCTGCTTTCCCAGAAGATTCTGAGCCAATCAGTATTTCGCATGGCAACTGTAAGTATCGACCTATCTCTCACTCTCTCCCTCTGCGGGCAATTGTGCCTGCATCAGCTGGCAAAACACACACATTAAACAGTTCATAGAAGAGGAGACTTGGTAGTCGCTTAAACTTGTGTGGATGGCATGCATGTGGGCGTGCTAAGTCACTTCAGTCGTGTCCAACTCTTTGCAACCCCATGAACTGTAGCCCGCCAGGCTCCTCTGTCCATGGGGATTCTCCAGGCAAGAATAATGGAGTGGGTTGCCATGCCCTCCTTCAGGGAATCTTCCCCACTCCGGCAGCGCCACCTGGGAAGGTGGATAATTCAAGTCTAGTCAAACTGGTGGGATGACTGTTCTATGAATCCAATAAACGAGCTTGCGGGGACACACTTGTGTGAGGATTTGAAACATCCCTCAGTACCTCCAGTGAAGTCTCAGTCACTACAAGGAGGCTGTGATCACACCTAGAAACCAGCTTTGGGAGAACATCACAGTCTTCTGTGTGTTGCCAGGATTGCACATTTTCATAGGGTAACTAATCCGGAGGCATTGTTACAACAGAAAAGAAGACTGGGACAAAACTCAACTTTTGTTTAGACTTAGAAGTATATCATTGCAAGACTTAAAGTGCTGCTGAATTCCCAGTGGACCTGTTTTAACGTTCATAACTTTCTTTTGATCTCTGCTTCGATATCAAGGGTAGAAGGCACCATGATGAAAAGGTCAGTTGACTCCTCAAAAGAGGATAATTCTACCTGTGTGTGGAATGAAGTAGACAATTAACTACTTTTCTTCCTTTTCTCCAAAAGATAAAATATTTTATCACAGTAAAGGGGAAAGCATTTTACCCAAATATCTGTCATCATAGTAGTTATCCTCAAACACTGAAAGAACCATTAAAAAGGTATTTGACAGTAATATTAGGATACTAACGCTGTCCACCCAGCTTTCTGCTAGACAGTCTAGGTTGTAAAAAGAAGTAATTTTATATGAAGGTGAGATGGCAAGGCTTTACACCTCTAATTAAGAACAAAAGTTAGGGTATGACTAAGGACCAAACTGTGTAGTTTGAAATCATCATTCTTGAAGTGGCGTGCATGCATGCCAAGTCGCCTCAGTCGTGTCCAACTCTTTTGTGACCCCATGGGCTGTAGCCCACCAGGCTCCTCTGTCTATGGAGATTCTCCAGGCAAGAACACTGGAGTGGCTTGCCATTTCCTTTCTCCACCTAACTCAAATTACTAAACCTTAATAAGCATTTACCTCCATTTGAGATAAGTATTCTATCTTCGGTGCCCCTGTGCAGAAAAGACCCCAGGAAAAAAATGAATAAATAAGAAAGAGACCCCAAATGTGCTACTGAAAACCTACTTCAGTGGACACTCAAATCTTTGACAGGACAGAGACAGGAATTAATTGTTTTAGCAACTTCCTTGCTGAATGGGTGGATAAAATTTCAGAGCAGTGGAAGGGAAAGTACAAGATAATCCCATACCAAGCATGGTTGTAAGATATACTGATGCTGTCCAACAAGAGTGAGTCAGACTCAGAGGCTACAGAGATTTAAGGTGTATGGGTCAGAGCATTAATCTATGAATGGATTTTGAGTCATTATTTATATTCCTCTCACCACCCCCCCCCGAAACAACTGCCTTTTAAATGTGACTCATCTTTTTTCCCCCCTTAGTTTCTCTGAAGGACTGCCAGTGCCCTGGAGATCATAGGTTTAAAGGCAGAGAGATTTTTGAGCTGTAGGTATTTCCAAAGGTCAGGTATTATTACAAATTGCCTATTCTCCACTGAGGAGAACTGCAAAAAAGGGGAAATAGGCTCGCTGACTCTCCAGGTCAGGGAAAATTCCAGATCACCCGACTGGCTACACTCAGTATGACCCTGTCCTGTCAAAGCCCCCATTTCTGTGAGATTAGCCAATTGCTTAACTCGAGTGAACTTCCCACAGTTCCTAGAATGCCAGCCGACCTAGTGGAGCTGCCTTCAATAGTGGATTATTCCAGCTGGACGCCTGTGGAGACTGCATTTTCCTTCTGGCCCCTGGACGAAGGCTCTTGCCTCCAGACCACATTGCCTTTGTGGTGATTGATGGGAAGGCTGCTTTGAAATAGTTTTGTCCGGAGACAAGATCTTTGGCAGACTGCCCCTCGGGCTTAGCACTCTAAAGAAGATGAAAAGAAAACTGGGGAAGAAAAGAGCACCTTCATGCAAAGGGTTCACTGGCAAGTTTAACCCTCCCCCCCAAGAAAAAGGGACAAGTCAGAAAGAGTGACACTCAGAAATCTAAGCCCAGGCTTATTAGCATCAGGAAATGAAACTGTAACTCGATTATCCTTAAAGAGCACTTTTCTATCACAACATTTCCTAAAATAACAGACCTGGGTGGAAAATGGTGGCATGGTTGAACTTCAATATGGTTTTGTTCTGTGGCCACCCCCTCCCCCCGCCGCCCCGGCCCTGTCAATTCTTGGCTTGATTTCCTCTTCCCTCTCTTGCCCCATGTCCTCTTTTCACAGATACAAAACAGTATCCGGTGTTTGTGGGCCACAAGCCAGGACGGAACACCACGCAGAGGCACAGGCTGGACATCCAAATGATTGTGATCATGAACAGAACCCTGTACATTGCTGCCAGGTGAGCCCCCTTTTCCCCATGTTTGCCTTTGGAGCATCCAACGGTCCTAATACCTAAATGTTCACACTCTGCCTCACAGTAAAGATCCTGACATTCCCAAAGAGAGCGTTACTTCATTTAAAGGCTACTTTCGTTCGTCAAGCAACCATTCTTTCAAGATTTTCTGTGTCCTTGTAACTTGATGATGTGGATTTGGATAGAAATAATTGCATATTTTGGAGTTTAAACTCAAATTATCCACTGTTTATCTTGAACATTGTGTATATGTGTATATACACACATACAGTATACACAGATATTTACTCAAGCATAGGGTAAAGTGTTCTGTCCTTGATACTTGCTAAATTAAGTTGAATGTGTCAACATGTATCAAATTAAGTTGAATGGGTGTGTGGGTGGGTGTATGTTAAACCTGTATTTTTGCAGATAATATATAGTATATATTACTTTAGCAGAATGGCAGCAGCCATCCAGTAGAAGTTTTTGAGGTGGATCTAGTTCAGAAAAGACTTCCACTGGGGAAATGTTATTCAAACAGACCATGCCTTAAGGACGAATGGCTTGGCAAGAATACTACCCAGACAGGGATCATATGGATTTAGGTTTTGTTTCAACTCTACTCTTAACTTACCTGGACCATAAATTCTCTGGCTGTTCAGTGTCCTTTGTTAAATAAGAGACTAGAATAGATTATCTTAATGGTGTCCCTTGGGATTCTAAAAATACATGATCCCCCACTGGGGACAGGGGTTGTGACTTATTCAAAATATTTCTAAATAAACAGCAACAAGGAGCAGTATCTTGTGGGGTCCACTGTGGTATAACCTGGGTCTAGACTGATGAATCGTTTTACACTGGGAAGGAGAAATAGAGATTATGTTTGTAGTACCTGTCTGGCTGTGAGCACAAGTAAAGAACAAGTAAATAACAACAGTGCTGGATTCCTTCAAAGCACTTAGATGTTCTGAAAATACAAGCTATACAATGTAAAGTAAAAAAAAAAACACCACTGGCTAGATTAAAATATCCTATGAGTACCCTACATTTTGGTCACAGGGAGCAATGCCAAAGCACTTTCTAAAAATTCTACTTCATAAACACTTAGTACATACTTGTATGTGCTATATAAATTTGCAAATATAGTTGTAAGTTCTTTATAAATGTTAATTCATTCAATCCTGGGGCAAAAAAAAAAAAAAAAAGCCCTTTGAGTTAGAGCTGTTATCATCCCCATGTCTTCCGGGAGGAAACCAAGGTGCACAAAGGTGGAATGACTGGGTCAGAGCGACACGGGCAGGACTTGAACTGGAACAGGCTTGCTCTAGAGTCTGGGTCACCTCTCTCTGCTCTGCAGTCTGCTGAGCCATAGAAGGCCTACTTGTCCTGGTGATAACCTTCTAATAGCTGTTCTCCAAGAACAGTAGCCACTGTGGGTATTCATTAAAAACACTCCAATGAGTCCCCAGTAGCCACCTCTCTGGAGAATATTAGCTCCCTCCTAAAGACCATTTCCAGTTTCCTAAATGTAACAGGGGTGGAAGATTACATTTGTACCCAGTTAGCCAAAGGCTGGTCAAAACAAATGAAAAAACACTGTATCTGTGAGAAATAGGCTGACTCAAGAATCTTCTATGAATTGTTCACTTTGCAACCCAGTCTTTAGGGGGAAAAGAAACATAACCGACTACCTGATGACTTTAACTTGGGTGTGAAACAGTCCAGGGGGCACCAGAGTTAGGAATAAGGTGCTGTGCAGACTTCAAAGTGACCAATATTACACCTTGTTAAAACCAAGACTGTTTCATCCTAACTCCTGACCCCAAGAAAAGGAGAAAGGAAAGAAGGAAAAAAAGAAGAAACACATTCACTTTTGTAACTCTATAAGACAGACTCATCTTTGGTTAAAGGTCAAATCTTGCCCTTGGTTAAAGGTCAAATCTGTAACAGCCTAGATCTGACATGTTGGTTTACACTTTGTGCAGTCACTTCCCTGGAATACACACCCCTGGAAAAGTTCCTAAATGATTTCTGTGGTTTGCATATTTAGGGTCTCTCCTCTCTCTTTAATTTCACATTTCCCAACAGAGCCCCAAGAGATCCACGTTCCTAGGCAGCCACTAACATGATTTAAAGTGAAATCCTTCCCCAGACTCAAGTCATGCCAACATAGTTCAATGATGCTCACTGGAGAGGGGAAGAGGAAGTCCTAGGATTAAGTCAGTTTGTGTTTAAGTAACTGAATTCAGTAAGAGCAGCGAATGAACCTGGGATGCACACACGGTGCCGGGGAAAAACCCCTGACCCTTGATCTGTGGTTTAGCATAAAGCATCGTTCTGTGTGCTGGGCAATGTGATCTCTTCGAGACTGAAAAATATTGCCACTGTCCAAAGGAGATTTCATTCATAGAATTTTGATTTTTAAAAGGCTCCCCAGTTCTTCTAGACAATGGGTGTCAGCTATCAGAAGCCATGTCCCCAGCCAGAACCCAGGGACTGAGGGAAGCTTGATGAGCAATGCCCCTTTTCAGTTCTGCTTTATTATTATCCATTTTGTAAATTCTTTTTTTGTTGCTTAATCTCTGAACTGCTAATTAACATAAACAGGCCATGCCAAAGGGGTGGGTGGGGGTGGCAATCAAGAGCTTTCTGAGGAATTGCCAGTGCATATTAATCAGATGTTAATTCACAGTTCATACGTTCAGCTCCTACTTAAAGTTTTGAGGAGAGGCAGGGCCAGGAAAAAAATCTCAAGTTGTCTCAAAGCTGATACCAAAGTAATAGGCAATTCCACTCCAATAATGAACCTGACCCACAGCACCACCAATAAAGTCAAACAAGCAATAAAGGAATGCCATAAAACTGCCTCGGAATTGAAGGGCAGAGCCGTTCTGGCACCCTACTGGAGTCTGAAGAACTTTCCAATTCAGCAATTTACAAAACAGGCTCCTCTCTCTCTCCCTCACCACTCTTACACACTCACACACACTCACAAGGGCAAGGGAATTTTATAGGCCAACTGCCTTACCCCCTCCTTTTATTTTCATAAGAGAAAGCCTGTTTTTGTTTCTGTTTTTCTCAGTTGTTCTTTCCCTAAAAGTAGTAGCAAACAGATTTCCAAAGAACTGGGGGAAAAAATGGAAGTGAATCCTGACAGTAGATAATGCCTTTCTTTTTTCTTTCTTCCCTTCTCGCCTTTCCCTTTCTTTCAAGTAATGAGGGGCCCTGAAAGTCTGCATGGGAGCCTTGAGGTCTTGCTTTAAAGCTGTGGGTAATTTTCCAGCCCCAGGACTTCCTGCATTTTAGAAAAAGTCAATGTTATTTCAAGGGAAAACGAGCTCTTTTGCTTTCCCTCACTAGCTCCCCATCTCCCCAGTTGAATGTAGCGCTTTTCTTTTCTTTCTTCTGAATTCCAGACAAAAACGCCCTTGTGCTCAGCTCACACAGAAGGGGATGTTTAAATATAGCCCCACACCTGAGCTGCTCATTCTGTTTCTCCCCTTCCAAGGGGAGATTGGCAGCAAATCATAAAGACAACTAAGTTCTCAGCAAAACAGGAAGGTGAACAGAAGCAAGAAATGTAAACTTTAGCTCAAGTACGTCTGAACCTTAATTGACCATCCCTGTGTGAAAAAGAGTGGCTTCTGGAAATAATTTTACCTTTATTGTCTTCCATCTTGTCAATCAAATCATCAAAGCTAAAGCTGAAAATATGTTTTCGAAAAAGTGATGCAGATAGACATCAGTTTTTTGTTAGGTCTCTTGATGAACAACTCCAGCACCTTGAATACCAAGTGAAAGGGCATGCGAACCCATCTGTATGCTAGTTTGGAAGCCTATTTAACTTGCAGACATCTCCCACCTAAACTACCTACATACATACAGATGTTATTGTTATGGGATGCGAGAGGCTACTGGAAAGTTTTCATAAAAGTTGGCAAGATGCCATGATTTCTCTGAAGGTGCTGAATGTGATCCTGAAGCATCTCTTAGAAGCTGAACCCTCCCCTTATTCTTGCCCTCAGATCTTGTTTTTAATAACATGGATGTGGATTTATCTGCCTTGAATGAGACATGGACTCATTCAGGAGAAAATTCACTGCCTTGACTCTTGTGTTTAACATTGTCTTAATTCTTCTTTGTTTATAGGGACCATATTTATACTGTTGATATAGACACCTCACACACAGAAGAAATTTATTGTAGCAAAGTAAGTAGTTTTAAAACGTTCTTTCAGAAATGAAGGATCTTAGGATGGTTCTTGGAGAGAGTATGTATTTTAAATGCATTGATTGAAATGACATGGCTTAGAATAATTGGGAACATTTTATGAAACTCTAATTTGGTGATGAGTTAGGGCTTAATATGAAATGGTTACGTACTTCATATTTTATTCATCAGTTACATGCACATAAACACATTGGAATTTTAGGTAATTCCTAAATTCTTTGGATAAAATATTGGATGTTTGTCCAGGAAAAGATCAGTTTTCATACATCAACTTTTGTCCCACAAGTGTTTCACTGTTATGTTTCCACATCTTGCAATATTAAGTTTGACTTGACTGTTGTGGTTCAGGAATTTGATCATTATCCATTTCAGACAGATATAAAATATAACCCATGCTTCCTTATAACTCCACATGGAGGTATTTTAGTTAATAAAGTCTGCCCCAGAAGTAGATGATCCCTTCAGCACATGAATTTATGTGAAGGAGTGTAACCTGAATTAAATCTTTGTCCACCTAAAGTGAATGTCCCCTTTATGTTTAAGAAAATGACTTCCATATTTTAAGAAAAAGGCCTGCTTTATGGAAACTGATTTATCAAGTGAAAGGGAAGGGCAAGGACATGTATTTTATCAAAATGAGCATAATTTAGCAAGTTAGTGTGGATATTTTATGTGAAATTTCCACACTGTTGTTTATTCTTCTTTCCTTTCTCTTTCATCTTTTTCTCAAAGAGAAGCAGATCATTTTGTAGTCTAATGAATAGATAGGGGTTCAAAATTAAATGAACATTTCCATTTCTAATCTTTTGTTGTTATGGTGAGTTAATCTCGGAGAAAGCGTGTGGAAAGCTTTCAATAAATATATGTTCAGCGTCTAGTCTCCCCCAGGGAACTCTTACCTCAAAAATCATATGCAACAACCTCTGGGCTCTAATTGATTTCTTTCTTGATCCCTGCAGAAACTGACATGGAAATCTAGACAGGCTGATGTAGACACATGCAGAATGAAGGGAAAACATAAGGTAGGCAATTTTCATTTCTTCTGCAGCTGCCACTTTGGGTTAAGTTCTTGACTGTTATCTCCAGCCGCAGACCGTGATGTAGAATGGCTCATGCTAGTCCCTTTTCCCCCAGTAATTGCTTCTTCCATCAGCTTATTGAAGGCTTTAATTTGCAAACAACAGTTTGCTTTTAATGTGATGAAACAGTGTGACAGCTGCTAGGGCTGCATCATGAACTATTTAGGGGGCACCAGGGACTTTGGACCCCAAACTGGCTTGTGCTGACTCTTCTGAGCACACTTGTTGGGACTTCTCTTATGGTCCACAGCCCTCAGAGTCTGCAGGAGAGCCCAGAAAGGCTGCCGCAGACATAAGCAGTCTGTGCCTTCCATCACAGAACAACATAAAAACACACTTCAGCTGGGAACCTTGTGTATCAGGGGACTCTGGAGCCTCTGGCATTAAAATTAATGTGATGGGATGCTGTACGTCCTGGCTTGACTTCCTTTGGTGGCACAAACACACACCTCCTGTTCTTATTTACTGTTGAAAAGCAGTTGTTACTGTCAGCAGCAGCATCTTGGGGGAAAAAACACAAGGAGGAGCCTGGACTGTTCACAGGAGAACTCCCCAGCCCCCTGCATTTTCACCTTGCTCTCAGCACATCATGGCCCACGGTTGAATGGGTTTCTACCCTAAACTGGACACCCAAAAGTTTGAACTGTTTTTCAGGATGAGTGTCACAACTTTATTAAAGTTCTGCTGAAGAAAAATGATGATACTTTGTTCGTCTGTGGAACTAATGCCTTCAACCCTTCCTGCAGAAACTATAAGGTAAATGTTGTTTTGTCTGTTGGAACCACATGGCCCGGAGGTATTTCATAATTTACTGTGATTGTGCCCGCAGTCACCTAAGAGGGTTAATTCAACACCACCTGGGTTCCTCTAGCTTGTTCCACTTAATGTAGTGCTCCACATGACTGATCCTGAGCAGGCTTCTAAGCTTCCTGTTTGTTCAGGATTGATTGACGTGGCTTTAAAGAGCCGACCCGGCAAAGTACGTTTCTGTTAAGACCCTATTCTCTGTTGTTCAGAATGTCAGCCTGCGTACCCCACAGACCATGTGGGTTTCCTCTCTCTCCCTTTCTCCTTTTCCCTCCCACCCCACCATCTCCTCTCTGAGTACAAAAACGCAGTTATACTGTGAACGATTTCTATTTTAAAAGGGATCTCAAAAGCATGCCATTGGAAACTGTAGACATTCCTCTAGGTAAGATTTTCAAGAACACAGGAATTTAATTCCATTCAGAACTCAGCTTACTTGACCATAAGCTTACTGACTTATCTTGGCCTTCATGTAAAGGAGAAAAAGATTAACCCTTGCAGCATTAATAAATCAACTTAGTTCATCTGATAATGGTGTCGCTGAAGGAGTAGAGGTAAAAATGACCTGAGGTTTTGACCCCACATCTTTACCTTTCCTTGTCCCTCTCCCCTCAGTTTTCTTGTTCAGAAAATACGTACTGAGTTTCTCCCATGACTAGGAGTAGACACTGCAAAGACCGATAGGAGGCGTCCATTCTTAGGGAAGTCAGACAGGGAGAAAAAACTTCAATCCATGGGTTTGCTGCCATGGCGGCATAATACAGAGCATGACGCAAGCATCGCAGAGAAGGGCTTACTTCAGCCTGAGACGAGGAGCCAGAGAAGCGTCCAGAAGGAGGTGGACAACCCCTCTCTTCGAGTGTTCCCTCCTGTGGCCCGGACATATGGAACATGAGCACCCCAGCCCAGGAGAAACCCGAGCATCTGTGATTGCCCGGATGTGTACCTGACATAGTGTCTCCAAACAGGTGTTCAGTTCATTTTTTGCGGGGTAAACAGTAAATGAGATAATGCCTAACCTCAGTCTTAAAGAAGAGGTAACCAAATGAAGGGAGCGGGGGCATTCTACGTAGGGGAACAGCATGAACAAAGGCACAGAGCAAGAAACAGTCTGCTGAGCTGGAGAAACTTCATTTGGTTCCAAAGTGTTGGACCGTGAAGTGACAAGTGACAATAAACAAGAGTCTGCAGAGGTAGGTGGCCCCAGGGATGAAGGGAAGAGAAGAGACTCAGGAAATACTGAAGTGACAAAAGCGAGGAGGATTTATGTTGTTGTTGCACGGCAGAAACCACCACAGCACTGTAAGGCAATTATCCTCCTATTTTTTAAAAAAAGGAGGATTTACTAATTAACAAGAAGCACAGGATAAAGAGAGAGAGGAGTTAAGAACGACTGTGAGACTGTCTCCTGGTTGGGTGGATGGGGCGGCCATCAATTTGGACAGGGAGGACGGAAGAGCGGCGTGGTGGTGAGAACATGGGGTTTCATTTTGCATATAATGAGTGCGCCTGGCCCCACGGATGGCAATGCCTACAGGACATGAATAGAGATCTCCAACAAAAAGATGTACGGCTCACCCTTGATTTAGGGAGAGACACGGGGATGTCTAGATTTGGGTTTCACCAGCATAAAGTAAAACCTTAGGGGCTGTGAAGGACGAGAAAAGAAATGATGGGCTGATGTCAGGACCAGAGGGCTCACCAGCCTGGGTCAGACAGTTTTAAAAGACTGTGCCTTAGCACAGACAGAGGGAGAATCTATTTTACCCTCATGCTCACCTTCCACTTACGTTTGAAAATGGGTACCAGCACGCCAGCATTAGAGTGAGGCAAGGGAGGCACTCCGATCAGGTGCAACATGTGAGGGCGCACCAAAAACAATTCAGTAACGGGGCTTCCCGGGGTCAGTGGTGAGGAATCTGCCTTGCAGTACAAGAGACATGGGCTTAATTCCTGGTGCAGGAAGATCCCACGTGCTGTGGAGCAGCTATGCCCGTGTGCCACAACTACTGAGCCCATGAGCTGCAACAAGAGAAGCCACTTCAGTGAGAAGTGCACACGGCAACTAGAGTCTACCCCCTCGCCCTGCCTCTTAGTAAACAGAGAAAGCCCACTTGCAGCAACTAGGACCCACCAGAGCCAATAAATACATAAATAAATTTTTTTTAACTTAGTAATCAAGATACATAATATTTTCAATGTGGTTTTTTTTTTTTTTAGTATTTTTATAAGTTTAAACTAATGCCAAAAATGTGAAAGTGTTAGTCACTCAGTTGTGTCTGACTCTTTGCAACTCCATGGGCTGTAGCCCACCAGGCTTCTCTGTCCATGGAATTCTCCAGGCAAGAATACTGGAGTAGGCAGCCATTCCCTTCTCCAGCCGATCTTCCCAACCCAGGGATCGAACCCGGGTCTCCTGCTTTGCAGGCAGATTCTTTACCATCAGAGCCACCAGGAAAGCAGAGGATGAGATGGTTGGATGGCATCACCAACTCAATGAACATGAGTTTGAGGTCTAAGCAGTCTTAGCAAACTCCAGGAGATGGTGAAAGACAGGGAAGCCTAGCATGCTGCAGTCCATGGGGTTGCAGAGTTGAACATGACTTAACGACTGAACAACAATGCAAAAAAATACTATCACTAGATATTAAAATTTCACATAAGGACAGGAGCTAATTCAGGTGGTAAGAGGCAGCCCGTCAAGTCAAACATTCAGCCAGTAACGGTGTACTGGAGCTCTGACTTTAATTCTGCCACTTAATATTCCATCCCTGTGTGTCATTGTTTAGGACTCATTAAGATGAATGCTTCGAACAAATCCAAATGAATTCCCTAGCTGGAGACCTATCTCCTATGACAAATTACAGGTTTCCTTGGCACTGTGTTACCCAGCCTGCAAGGGATCCAGCTCCTTCTTCCCACACGTGTTCCATTCCCCAAGGTGCTCCACCTCTAAGAAGTGCCTTCACCTTCCCCTTGTTCTAGCCACACCTACTGAGACATGTTCCAGGAGCCCAGGGCCTCTCAGGAACGACAGGATACACCTAGCATGGAGAATGGCAGTGAGAACGCTTGGCATTGCTCAGAAAAGTGTTTTTAGACTCTCCGGGCAGACTGGGAATTTCCCGAGGACATGGGACATAATGTATTTGGCTTCAGAGAAAATGGACAGCCTATCTCATAAGTGCTTTTTAATTACCAGATCAGGACCAAAGGGTCAAAGCAAAAACAATAGCCAGTCTTCCACTGAAAGACCCAAATCACAGAGTTCAGAAGCATGAAATGAAACTACTTTGAAGCAGGAAGGTGACAAAATTTTGGTCTCTGCTTCTGCACCGTGCCCTGACTTCCACAAGTTTTATAACAGAAGTAAGCTGAATATATTAGAGAGATTAGAGCCCCAAATAAGATTATCTGGGAAAGAATTCTGAAGGCTGTCCATTATAAATCTACAACTACACTCCATACCTTTTCCCTCCTGTTTTCTAAACCTCTTGAACTTCTGCACAAGTCAGGCTGGTTCTTAGTATAATTATCTCTACCCTACAGTGATTTAATTTCCCAGGGGCTATTGTTAAGTCTGAAATTTGATGACTGCTACAAGGATTAGTTCTTACTTCAGGGAAAGAGGATTTCACCCTGACATTGTCTTGTCTCTGGACCTTTCCAAGTTCACAAACCAATACATTAATTCCTCATTGCTTCCCGCCCCTGACTAGCTATAGCTGTGGCTGCTTTTTTAGAAGTAGGTACATTTTAAAAATATATCCCCCTTGTATATTATTGTTTCCCCATGGGCAGGATCACAGCCTGCAACTGCTTGGGATAACGGCATTTCTGTTGCATCACTGTATAGCAGGTATCACTCTGAATACTTGTCATGGCTGTAAAGTCTGACGCAGTTCAACAGGAAGCTCTTGTTGGGCTAAAATATTAGGAAAAGACTTTCATAAACATGTGCTGGGGAAGAGTACATTTGCTTTAAAGGGTGTCTAACTTGAACATCTTTCTCCTAAAAATGTGTTTTTAACACAACTGCTTTATGTGATTCTCAGTCACAGTTTAAACAAGCATTATGGCTTTGATGGGGGAAATCCCAAAGTGGTTGCACATAGAAAATGTCTGTCCTGTCCTTGAAAAGTTTCTGTGAGTTGAGGGCAAAGGGCACAATTGATTGGACTATACTAGCGGCTGCTCAGTAAGGATCTTGCTCTTTCTTCCTGGGCAGCAACCCCAGGCACTTTGATTTTAGTGCTAAAGGGCATTTCACAGATCCTTCCTCAGTGCTGTCTTGGGTTTGTCTTCTTTCCGTTTTCATATTTGGAGTCAAACTATGCCACTTCCAGATGATAAACAAAATACCCTAAAACCATAAAGAAGACTGAAATACAGAGGAGTCAGAACATTAGTGCTGTGGAGGAGATCACTGTTTGGTCTCTGTGATGCTGAGATTAAAATGCTAGGAAGCTCTCGTAGTGTCAGGAAGGGAGGGTGGGAGGAACCCCTGAGTTATTGGTCTAGATGGGCCAAGCACTGTCGGCTGATCAACAGAGGTTCATTTCCTGCTCACATCACAGTCAAGTGTGGGTCAGTCAGAGAGTTTGTATTCTGAGAGGTTATTTAGAAAGCCAGCTCCATCCTGCTTATATGTCTGCCATCTCCTGTGATCTCCTAGGATCTTGGAATTCTCCACTGGATCCTCTGTAGGATCTAGTGAAGAAGATGAAAAGAGAAGGGAAGAGTGTGGAAAGAGAGCAAGAGTGGAGGATCTGGGGAGGTTTTCTGGGGCAAGACCTAGAGGTGGGGGCAGAGCCTTATACTCCCACCCCATTGGCCAGAGCTCGGTCATGTGATCACACCTGACTGCAAGGGAGGATGGGAAATGTAGTTTAGTGTGATATGGAGGAAAGGGAAATGAATTTGTTGAACAGCTGGTAAGGCTTTGCCTCACCTGCAAATGCCTATGAGCCAAGCAGGTAACTTGTAGGAGTGAAGCAAGCAGGATGTCAATACAATCTATGGGTAAAGGGGTCTTGGTGCTAGAGACTATATGCTGATCTGAAGAAAATGGCAGGGGTAGCCATTACTCAACTATAGCTTGCTGCCACTTGGCTAAGAAGGGCCTGAATTGACTTACCCACATGTTCAAAAGATGCAAGAAATCCAAGTTTTCGTATGCAATATGCCCTTTTAAAAGAGAGTTAGTTTTCCTTTTTCCTTTTCAAACATACTCAGATGACCAGGAACAAGTCTGGGTTGGGCATGAGGAGATAGGAGTCACGTGGCAAGCACACTGCTCATATCTGGGGCCCATGGGAGCCTCTCAGCTTCTGGGCCTCTCTTTCTCATCTACACAATCTGAGGCTCAGACACGTTTCTGAAGTAGGCGCAAAGGCCACTGAGCTCTGCTTGCATCCATGTTTTTCTTCATGCTTGCTGATGCCATGCTATTCTAGCAGGTAACCTGAGAAAGAATTCCAGAGTCTTCTCCTAGAACTTAACCCACAAAGGCAAGACTCCTCTGGCAAAACAAAACCAAAACTGAGGTCATTCTCTGTAGAGTTCATGGCTTAGAATTAGCAGATAATTCTAGGGGATGGGGGAATATGTTTTCCTGCTGAATACGTCAGAAATCCCTTTTCCAAGGAAAAAGATGCTTATTTCTCTAGCATTCCAGGAGGATATGGGAATCTCTTTATTGTTATGGTTCTGAGTCAAGCAGACATGACTGATTCTTCTGACTCTCCTAGCTACGGAATCTTGGTCAAGTGGCTTAATCTCTCTCAACATCAGCTTCCCCATCTGAAACCAAAAGACTTAACCTCAGAGGGTATTTGAGCATTATTTGCACCAGGCATATAAATTGCTCAAAAAATTAAGTGCTTTGTAAATATTAGTTGCTGTCATTACTGTTGGTTGTTGTTCCTAATTTAGTCCTATTATTTCATTTAGATGGATACTTTGGAACCTGTGGGTGATGAATTTAGCGGAATGGCCAGATGCCCTTACGATGCCAAACATGCCAATATCGCACTGTTTGCAGGTAAACGACCTGATTTCCTGGTTTCTCCTCATTGCATTTGTTTTCGTGGGCTCAGCCTGTGGCTCTGGAGGATTCACAGAGTCACAGTTGTCCTTTGATTCTCTGGTGACTACTGTAACTAAGAATGCTTTTTCCATTTGAAATTCATAGGGAAATTGTACTTTTGTGGTTTTTTTTGGTTGTTGTTCAGTCACTCAGTCATGTCTGACTCTTTGCGACCCCATGGACTGCAGCACATCAGGCTTCCCTGTCCTTCCCTGTCTCCTGGAATTTGCTCAAACTCATGTCCATTGAGTCAGTGATGCCATCCAACCATCTCGTCCTCTGCCGTCCCCTTCTCCTCCTGCCTTGAATCCTTCCCGGCATCAGGCTCATTTCCAATGAGTCAGCTCTTCACATCAGGTGGCCAAAGTATTGGAGCTTCAGCTTGAGTATCAGTCGTTCCAGTGAATATTCAGGGTGGATTCCTTTAGGATCAACTGGTTTGATCTCCTTGCTTCTTTTTTTTCTCTCCTCACTTCTTAAGACAAGTCTTTGCCATGCTTACCCATACTTCTCTGCCTTCAGAAAGAGTAACAAGTTTGCGCTGAACATGCAGCATACTGGTGAGGGCATGTCTGGGCTGAAGTAATAGAAAATCCCACCTCAAACCCCCGGTGTGAACTGAGTATTTAAGGTGGAGTAGACTTTGGGGTGGCTTTGATTCAACAGCTCATTCATCTCATCCGGGACGCAGGTCCTTTTCATTTCTCTGCTCAGTTTTCTTTCTTTCTCTGAGGGAGACACTGTTCTCACAGTCATAGGATGGCTGTTGGGTCTCAATTAGGGCTACATATCCTTTTGTCTGGGCTTCTCAGGTGGCGCTGGTGTTAAAGAACCCACATGCCAGTGCAGGACACTTAAGAGATGTGGGTTTGATCCCTGGGTTTTGAAGATTCCCCTGGAGGAGGGTATGGCAACTGACTCCAGTATTCTAGCTTGGAGAATCCCATGGACAGAGGAGCCTGGCAGGCTACAGTCCGTCCATAAGGTTGCATAGTGTCAGACATGACTGAAGCAACTTAGCATGCACACGCATCCCCTTGTCTACATATAGAAGGGAGAAGGAAAGAGACAAAAGGAAGTTTCTGGAAACTCTCTTGGTTACAAGCACATCTTCTCAAATATCATGACCTCATGAGCTTACCTGCCTGTCTCTGATAGAACTGTAGTGGCCAAAGGGATGATGCTGATGATCAGAGGTTGACCAACACTCCCCATTGCTACTCCTTCCTTCCATTGCAAAGGATATAGAATGAAAGCAAATAAGCCATGACTTTCAGATGGGGATTTCTGTGGAATTCATTGCCAGCTGTGCTCATTGAGGTGGGTGTAGGGAGAAGTATTGGTATAATAGTGATTGTTATGAAATGTAATAAAGCAGTTAGCTATAATTTCCATCACCACAGCTAAAACCTGGCACATCCTAGCTTGATGAGGAACTTTAGGGCTTTGATTATGAAAAAAGACCAGCTCCTTGAACCACATCCTCAGTGTCATCATTTGTGAACCCAAATCTGCAGTCAAAAATTGAAGAGGCAGTTTGTGCCAAGTTAAGAAGGAAAGGTTTCTCAGGTTCTCCTCCAAAGGTAGAGCATTCCTAGCAAGCAGCCTTGTAAGAAACACAAAGTCATGTAAATCTGTTTGTAAGCATGGGTAGGGGCAACGCCGCTGGAAAGAGTGCTTGAGAATTATATTCTTAAGTGCCTAACTTCTGCTGCAGCACTTTTCTGACACTTGGAACCTGCATTAGTAATAGAGTAATGGAGGTTGTGGACTGCAGTGGGGAATGTAAATTTACTAATGAAAAAGGAGCAGCCCAAGGCAGAAAGAGGAAAATGAGCAGGTGTTTTCTAAGGCCACCAACCTTCCAAGAGCAAGCCCCATGAAACCATCTAGTAGCTGCAGAAAGTGTATCTGAATCCATGTTCACTGCAATGCTTGAAAGCTCTTAAAACTTCCACCATTATAAACAGAAGATACTTGTTGCCCCTGAATAGTTGTCATGTTACCAAGAGTGACAAAATAGTACTCTATTTTACAAGTAAAAGTTCTGGCAAGATATCCAGTTTAAAATGTAAAACAATGAGTATGAAGGAGTGTTCAACAGCAGTATCCACACACACACACACAACAACTCCCACTGTCCTCTCCTCCTCAGGTCTATCCATATGACCCGGAGCTATGATTCTATAAGAAAACTTGTGATTTTTGCAGACGCATGTGTATCAGTAGAAAGGTTTGCTGTCTGCAGCCAAAATCTAACCCAGAAGGTCAACACGTACAGATATATGACTGCCAATAATGTAGATATGAAGACAGCTCTACCTGAAACTGAGCAAATATCAGTTAAGACCAAAAGTAGACCTCAAAGACTTTGCTTAGGTATGTTTATTTAAAACAGAACCATATGCTTATCCCACGAGGGTTAGAGCTTCAAGAGAACTGTGATGTTTATAAGCCACTTCTGAAGAGGCTCTGGAAACCACAATTAATGGAGATAGGTAACTCATTAAAAAGCTGAGCCAAGGAAGCTATTTTTTATAATTATTGTTTCCATTTCATCTACACAGATTTCACTATTCCAGAACAGCCCATTTGATTATCTGTGTAAAGAATGCTTGCTAATCCAGCAAAAGAACCAAAAATTTTAAGGATTCATTTTCAATCATCTTGTCTCTCTTTTGCCTTGGATGTATCCTCAAGAAGAAGTCCCAAAGAGCATGAATTCTTAAAGAAAAGTCCAGTTTGAACTCAGCATCATCCCTTCCCCTTCTTTATTTTGGCTTCTTGTATATCAGAATGTTCTCAGTTTGAGACTTTGGAAATACTGAAACAAGTATCTCTTAAATGGAAAGCTAGATCAGTAGGACTTAGTGGCTCTTCTGATTGAGGTAAAGAGGAGCAGAGACTCAGAAAGAATACACATACCAATCTTCTTTTTTTTCTTTTTTTTAATCGGAGTATGATTACATGTAGCAATTTTAGTCAGCTCTTTTTTGCTTACAAATCCTCTTTCTTCAACTTCCCTCACTTGCTTAGGCTGCAGACTTTCTCACTTCTGCTTGCACTTAAATTTTTCTGGTGATACAACCAGCCTCTATCTTTCCCGGGGCTCCTACCTAATCCAGTGTACCACGGTATGGTGGTGACTGCAGTGTTCAAGGGGCCTTGGCCTTGAGATTTCAGTCAAGGTCCATCTAATGGAGTGAAGCAAACAACATTTTTCATTTACCCTGTTCCCTGAGCTGCTGCTGCTTAGAAATTGCCATGCAATTTAAAAATGAAAAATGTTTCATCTCTCGTGATCCCAATTTAAGATGGTTAGGAATGTGGGCCAAGTATTTTCCTAGCGACTCTTGGATTTGTCCCAGTTGTCCTATCTTATTTGCCTGATATAGGAAAGCCAGGTGGGGGATGTCTCTATTATTCCCCCATGCCCACCATCTTGCTCTAACCATATTCTCCTCTCATCTTTCTGTTCAAAGATGGAAAACTATACTCTGCTACAGTGACAGACTTCCTTGCCATTGATGCAGTCATCTACCGGAGTCTTGGAGATAGCCCAACCCTACGGACCGTCAAGCATGATTCAAAATGGTTAAAAGGTGAACAAACAATTAAAAAAAGAAAGGAGGTGTGGCGGGGGAGATATATATCTTGAAGGAGATTTAGCGTCTGAATGGTCCAGATTGTAGTTTCATTTTAGTAATGGCTTCTCACAGACAGGAAGGTGGAAATTGCATCTCTTGCCCCAGGTTGATTTATTACCTCCCCTGTTCACTTCCCATGAGTTTCTGGAGTATTATCAAAACTACCAACACCACCATAATAGAATACATTACATTCATCTTTCCTGCTTCAAGCTCTCATTCCAAAGTCCCACATGAAAACAACTAAACAAAACACTTCATTCATGGAAGGGAACGGGGAATTAGAGGTGGTGGGGAACAGGAAAAAAGCTGTTCACAACCCGAATGAGTCAAGGTTGACAAGGCAATGTGTACAAAATCTGTTCTGTAATATGAGCCTTGTATTGTAGACAATAAAATTACAGAGATATGCAAAACTCATTTATTCTTCATTGTTCATTGCAACTGCTTCTGAAAGATTAAATCTGTAGGCTTAAATGCTTTTGGAAATCACTAAGCACTTGCATGTGTAAAGTCACTAGAAATGGTTAGTGTTAACCAAATGTCTAATGGCCCTACAATTTTATTTCATAACATGTCTTTGCTTGCAACTGATTGCAGTTCTTTTAACTCTGTGTGACACGCCCCCAATTAAAGTGCCCATTTGTCCACAGAACCGTATTTTGTCCAAGCGGTAGATTATGGAGACTACATCTACTTCTTCTTTAGGGAAATAGCAGTGGAGTACAACAGCATGGGAAAGGTAAGAGGGGAGGATGTCTTAATATGGGGTCAATATGGTTATGAATGGCTTGGAAATGAAACCATAAATCTAAGGACAAGGTCATCATTTTGAGAAGATCCAACAAAGACTGGTGGAAGTGAAACATTTTGCTTCCTGGAACCCCTATATGCATTTTCTGATTGTTAACAGAATACAGAGAAAACCTCTTAAATACATTGAAAACTTAACAAACAGATGAGTTTCAAGTATTTTAAGAAAGATGTGGTTTCCAGGTCTACTCATCAAGTTTTTTTTGTTTTGTTTTGTTTCAAATTGAGCTGCTCTACAGAGAGAAAGTAACTATTCAATACCTATAAGCAAACCCAGGGTCTTGACTGTATTCATTGCAAAAAGCAATAGAAGACTTAAGGGATGTCTATTTCGATTATTTCTACCAGAGAGCGGATCAAGACCACTAAGTTGGAGGGCACAAATTCTATACCAGGGTGGCATGCACAGTTAGAGGAATTCAGGGCATGAGAGGCAGGGCCCAGAGGCAGCCAGGGAGGATGGCAGAGATGGCGCATACAAAGTGTGCTTTTGTTTGAGGAAATAAAAAGCTAAGCAGTCTGTATGGAAATGAGTGTATGTGCCTGGGAGCTGATCCCCTGAAGGGTTTATGGTTCTGTATTAAATGCCACAGCCTTATCTTTCCAAACATGCTGTTCCAATGCTGAGTTTTTCCCTTTTTTTTTTTTTTGCCACTGATTTTAGAAACACAGGATTAAATTAAGCATCTTGTTGTTCTGTTTCTATTTTTCTAAGAAAGGTAAATTCTACCAAGATCTCCATGCAAAATAAGTGCATTTCCTCTTCTCCGCCTTTTCCCTCTGCAGGTAGTTTTCCCAAGGGTGGCTCAGGTTTGTAAGAATGACATGGGAGGGTCTCAGAGAGTCCTGGAGAAGCAGTGGACTTCTTTCCTGAAGGCTCGCCTCAATTGCTCGGTTCCCGGGGACTCCCATTTTTATTTCAACATCCTGCAGGCAGTTACCGACGTGATTCGTATTCATGGCCGTGATGTTGTCCTGGCAACCTTCTCCACACCTTATAACAGGTAACCATGCCTTGGCGGTGCGGACTTCATCAGTCCTTCCCGGCTTCCTTTTCCCAAGAGGTTCTTGTCTAATACACAAGATTTGCAACTGATGGAAACACTGCCATTCACTATTTGTAACTAACAAGCACTTAACTCTCAGTCTTCATTCACAAATGGATAATCGGTATAAGTGCTGTTAGAGTAGAATTTTGGAGAAAGTAATGAGATAAATTATACCAATATCTTCTTTTCAGATGTCTGGGACAGAAACACTATTCATGTGTTATTTCTCAACCCCTCTAATTATCTTGAAAAGTGAATACCGTTGCCTTCTTTTTACACTTGAGGAAACCGAGTTTAATTACACTCTCTGGCCCAGGTAGTCCACAGATAGAAGCAGCAGCTCTGGCACTCAAGAATGTTCCTCTTTTCTAGGTCACCTAACATTTTATTTGACTTTTAATATTTCTATGACTAGATCAGTAATTTTTGAAGTAAAAATACTGGACATGTATTAAAATGCTACAGAGTGAAATTTAGGAAGTAGATGAGTCCATCTGGCATCCCACCTGCTTATCATCCTGTCAGAGGAACCAGAATCCCAACCACAGCACCACTGTCTGATTCTGGAGGGTTCTATTGAGGATTTAGGTTTCCCTGGTAGTTCAGTACTAAAGAATCCACCTGCAATGCAAGTGATGCAGGTTTAATCCCTGGGCCTGGAAGATCCCTTGGAGAAAGAAATGGCAACCCACTCCACTATGCTTGCCTGGGAAATCCCACGGACAGACGAGTCTAGTGGCCTACAGTCCACGGGGTCACAAGAGTTGGATGTGACTGAGCAACACCATCACCACCACTGAGGATTTCCAAGTCATCAAACATTGTACTGAGAAATCCTGAGTCTCAGCCCATTCATTCCTATTTTTGTGTTTATTTAAGCTAAGACACTGAGCTATGAAATGACACTAATAACTGTCCCTGGAGCAGTGGACACGTGTGGAGACTCAAAAATAGAGGAAGAGGGACACCATGTTCCCTGGAACTCGGCTTTCCCAGACCTCAGAGTCTCCTGTGGAAATGATCCGCACTCTGGCCACAGCCAAGCAATTGAAGTACCTGCACTAGACTATGTACAATTCTCTCTGAGCTTCTGCTGGGAATACACTGTCTTGTTTTGGATTATACTTTTTACAAAGATTTTGAAGAACCTGATGAATGGCTAGATGACAGGAACATACATGATGAGACTGGAGGACAGCAGCTAGGAAAAAATGCCTAAGAACTGGGTAAAGCCCACAACAGAGCAGGCTGAAGGATGAAATAACATTCCTCAATTATACAGAGGGCAAGAGTCAAGAGTCCCCCATTGAAGATATAAGGAAACATAAACCTATATTGCAGCAAGAAGTATTTAGTTATATTTAAGTAAGTTGTGACCATCTGAAGGAATTTTTAGACTTCAGAATAGAAAAGATGTAAAAATTCAGACCTTAACTGCTTGTACTTTGGAACCCATGTATCTAGGAGTGTTGAAAAAGAAGATTGTTCTGGAACATAGGAATGTAAGTGCCAGTGGAATTTTAGAGCACATTTCTAATTTTTTTTTAACGTTTTTTGAGAAAATGAGTTACTTTATGATTACAACAAAGTAGTAGATTCCTAAATATTACACATACTCCATTTAAAGAATTTTCTTTAAAGGTCCCTAGGAGACATTCAATGAGTGCATGCTAATGCAGTCTCAGAAACCATATTTGGTCAGTAAGATCAGAAAATGGCAAAAGTATGCAGACCAGTCTTCATCTATAAACAATAGCCCCTCTCTGACTCCTCCCTCTGGTTTCATCCCTTTCCACCCCATTCTCCACACATTCCCACTCCATCACGTCAGGTTGTCTCAAACCCTTTAGGGGCTCCTCTTGCCCTGAAGATAAAGCCCAGCTCCCTTGTTGGCATGGCATGGAAGCCCATCATGATCAGGTGTCGGCTCCCCCTCCAGTGCAGAGGGTTGACCTAACTACTGACACCCTGCTATCTTGCCAAGTCTGCTCCCCCAACCTATCTGCTTGCCCACTGAACCCCTGGGAATGCTCCAAGGTCAGTTCCAATCACATCCCCTGGAACTCTGCACATGCCTTTCATATATACTGCCTTTACCAGATGGTCTTGGAAAGTTGTTGCTGTTATTATTATTATCACTGCTCTTGTTGCTTGCCACCACACTGCATTGTGAATCAGCTGAGAGCACAGTTTGTTATTTACTGAACATTTATGGCTTGAGATCGGGGATTCCATAAATATGTGCTGAATGAACAGAAGATGGGAATAAAGGGAGGGGATAAAGTAGGGAAGAAAAAAGAAAGGATTTTACACATGATTCTAACATTAGGAAGAGTATAAACCCTAGGGTATCTTTAGTGATTATGAAGTGCCTCATAAAATACTTCAAAATTTATCCTTTTTTTCTTAATATTTAAAGTAAATGTGTATATCTCTTACTTTTAGGAGAGCGAGATGTGGAAAGAGTCTTACAAAATTAAATAATGTTAGGAGCACTGAAGTTTCAAAACAAATGAAGATCACTGTCTTATTATAGACTTACTATTGTGAATAATACACACACACACACACGCGCGCGCTACATACTTTAAAATTTATCCTGCCACTCTGTTTTAAATAAGCTTTCTAATCCTCCCCCATTTCTCACTTTCTTTGTAATACTTCAATAATTATTTTATGAAATTAAAGATGGCATAAAATTCTCCTAATGCATACACACACAGAGTGTTTTCCATATCCTTTCGACATGTGCAAAATCCAGGCCAAATCATTCTCCCTGCCCTGTATGCTGCTGATGCTGCCGAGCACCTGTGTCTTGCCCTGGGTGCTTCTGTGTGCAGTGACCCACTATCTCAAAGCCTGATTCAAAATGTTGGACAGCCAGTACCTGAAATTTATTTGATCAAAATCAAGGAACAACCATAGAAACAAACACAGGTTCAAGTAATGTGCCTAGATGAATGAATAATTCATGTCTTCTCACCACTGATGAAAAACAACCCCAAAGTCCTTCCAGGAGTGCCAGGCAAGAATATAATTACAGGTAGAGATTACTGATGTTATTATTATTTAGCACTTAATCGAGCATTTTATTTGCAAAGCATTGGTGCTTTAGAGATTTAAACTGTTTAGTCTTATGCAAATAAACAGGAAGTAGAATTTGCAGTGTTCAGTGACTAGCGTAAAATATGTTTGTGTTCCTCACACATACATTCTCACTACTGATGTCCTTGACTTGAGAAGCCAAATTCGAAGAAGGAATATGTGGACAGCAGGGGCACTTTTACTTCAAACTTTTACCAATATCAGAGATGCAGAATGTTGCCCAAACATTTTATCTTTGGTTTAAAGACTGGTAATTAATTTCAGGAAATTCACGAAACTTGAAAATCATCAGGTCAACCATTCCTCCTTTATAAACAAAAGCAGTGCCAGACACAAGACCAAAAAAAGGGGGTTTTTCCCTATGATTTTGCTTTAACTAGCCCTTTCTTTAAGACCAGTAAGGCAAATTTGATTCACTGAAACATTCTCCTTATGCACTAGGATCCTTTTACATTTATAGTGTTCAGGGTATGAACATTAAATTTCAACTGCCAGTACTAGGGAAGTTTCTTTGGTGTATGTTTTCCAAATGACATGCAGAACTGTTGCATAAGTAACACTTTGTATGAAATGCCCCATTGCAGCATCCCTGGGTCTGCAGTGTGTGCCTATGACATGCATGACATCGCCAATGTCTTTACTGGGAGATTCAAAGAACAGAAGTCTCCAGATTCCACATGGACACCAGTTCCTGATGAACGCGTGCCTAAGCCCAGGTATGTGCCCATGTTTATCAGGCTCTTTTAAATTTCCAGAAGTGGTGCAGTTATCTCCCATGATAATGAGTATCTTGGGCTTCCCAGTTGGCACTAGTGGTAAAGAACCCACCCGCCAATGCAGGAGACATAAAAGGCATGGGTTCGATCCCTGGGACTGGAAGATACCCTGGAGGAGTATGCCTGGAGGAGCATGGCAACCCACTCCAGTATCCTTGTCTGGAGAATCCCATGGACAAAGGAGCCTGGAGGGCTGCAGTCCACAGGGCCACAAAGAGTCAGACACAACTGAAGCAACTTAGCACACACACAATGAGCATCTTATCAACTGCACACCAGGGCCTTCCGTGGTGGCAGATACAAATGCCAACACAACAGAAAGGCCTATGAGGCCATTTACCTTCATTCCCTTAACCAATCCCCAAATTACCCAAGTTATATTCAAAACAGTGACTCTCTAGTCTTTCACTTAGACTCTATATCTGTAGATTATCCACTGTAATCCTTGGATGACAGGAGCCATCCACCCCAGCAGCCCCAGTTGTCTATAGCTGAGGAAACTGAGGCCCGGAGAGGTACAGAGTGTGTTGTGCAAGCTGCTGGGGAGATGACTTCCACCACTTCTCCCTGCTTCCCTTCAGTTTCACAGAGACCCATGTCTTTCAGCCTTAATAAAATGTAAAATATTAACGATGTTCGCTGGATTCTGTGACTAGACTGGATCAGAGCTAATCCCGGGCTAAGGGCAGGTAAGGACCAGCAGGTGCAGTGCGCCATTATTAGGATGTCTCTGGTCTGAGGGTTCTAGTCTATTTGGGGTCCGGATGTATCATAGATTCCCTCATCCTCAAAACATGCCCCAAAAGTGCTTTCACGGGGAACCTATTGTCCAGAGACAATCTAGAGACTTTGGGTCCTGTGTAATTTCCATCAAATCTGCACACTAAACCAGTCCAATACTTTGTCCACCTGATACGAACAGCCAACTCATTGGAAACGACCATGATGCTGGGAAAGATTGAGAGCAGGAGGAGAAGGGGGCAACAGAGGATGGGATGGTGGGATGGCATCACTGACTCAACAGATGTGAGTTTGAGCAAACTCCAGGAGATGGTGAAGGATAGAGAAGCCTGGCATGCTGCAGTCCATGGGGTCGCAAAGAGTTGGACACAACTGAGTGACTGAACAAGAAACCAGTTCATGCATTTCTCTAACTGGGACAGGATGAAACCCTCTCCCGGCCCTGTGGACCTCTTTATGGTCCACACGCAGCATACCTACCTTTGTTGTTCAGTCACTCAGTCGTGTCTGACGCCTACAGCCTTTGAAACCTACATTATGAAAATACAGAAATGTCCCTGTATGTTAGCTCCCTCCGCTGAATCTGTGGAAGGAAACCCAATGTCTTTTAAACCTTTTTGGTTTCCACCTCTTTGCTCCAACATCCAATTCCATCCCCCCAAAACTACCTAACCCAATTCGCTGAATTGAACTACCTTAGATAATATGAATCAGTGTACCCAGGGCAGAAACCCCTATGATCCATCCTTTTTCATCCCCTGGATCATCTGGCATGTGCCTTCTCTGTTATTAAAGGAGAACAGAATAATTGTAAAAAATATTCCCTGGCAACCTCAGGTGAATTGTCAAAGTCTCTAAGTAAGGTGGATTCTCTGAAGGAGTGTTGACTACCTTCCAGGCAAGCAGGACGCATACTTTAAGTGACTTTCCACTGGTCATCGTTCCACGTGCTGGCCTGTCTCTCTTATAAACAGCAGGATGCTTTCCCTGACTGGCTGGGTTAGTGCCATGAAAGCATGTACCCAGGGCTAGATCCTGCCAGTGCTGTCAGGGCCCACTTTTCTCTCCTGCACCAGAGGGGAGGCCAGGAGTCTGGACAAGCCTGGCGCTAGTATCTCCCTAATCTGACTTCGCTGAGGTGTACCTTGACTCTTGAAACCATGTCATTTCTTTTAGAAACCAATCTTCAGTGTCATTGTTCAGCGTGTTTTAAAATGACTTTTCAGACGAGAATTTCAGTGTAATTGGCTTTTCACGCCTACGCAAATCAAATGAAAGCAATAAAAAACAAAAGGTTCCCTGACCTCCTGGTAATGAGAGAGGGTTATACTGAGTCTAGCAGATAGGTTCAGTGGTAAAGAATCTGCCTGCCAAGCAGGAGATGCAGGTTCATTCCCTGCGTTGGGAAGATCCCCTGGAGAAGGAAATGGCAACTCACTCCAGGATTCTTGTCTGAGAAATCCCACGGACAGAGGAGCCTGGTGGGCTACAGTCCGTGGGGTCGCAAAGGAGACGGACACGGCTTAGCAACTAAACCACAAAGCAGGTTATATAAGGCCAGCGACTTTTTGAACACCTTTGTTTTCTACATTTGTGAAAAAGTCAGCCCAGTTGTCTCCTTCTGTGGAACAAATACCTCCAGAACTCCTAGCAGGGTTTTAGGACAGGCAGAGCAGTCCCAGAGACGTGCAAATGTCTCACTTGTTTCGAAACTCTCATTTGTTTCGAGCTCCATCACTGTTTATGGGGTTTGTTTGTGTTTCTGGCGGGGAAACCCAGCTGCTCTCAGCCAAGGCTGAACCGTCCTGGCTCAGGCTTCTCTATGGAGCGCGGAGGCAGCCCAAGGCAATCTAAGCATATTTTTTGGTGGCATTATACATTGTTCAGCTTCCTATTCTCAGCCTCAAGTCTATTCTCCCTCATGTGAGTTGCACAGAGAAGCAGCTCATTCAAAGAATTTGCCATAAAGCGTAATAGAAGCTCCCTTGTTTCTTTGTAGGCCAGGCTGCTGCGCCGGCTCCTCCTCCTTAGAAAAATACACCACCTCCAATGAATTTCCTGACGACACCTTGAATTTCATCAAAACGCACCCGCTTATGGATGAGGCCGTGCCGTCCATCATCAACAGGCCGTGGTTCCTGAGGACGATGGTCAGGTGAGTATTAGGCAAACTGCGTCCTTACTGGATTTCCCCTGTTGCTGCCCATGATCATTGGACCGGTCATCGATGGATCATGATTTGAAGTGCCACAAACCCCTTCTGTCATCCAGGCCTTGGTTCAGTTCTGAAGTCCTGGGCGGTTGGGTGGATGCCACCAAACCCCCATAACCACATTCCCAGTGAAACCACAGTTCAGAGAGTTTCAGGGTAACTGGACCCAGGCCAGCAATTAGAGGAAACAAAGATGTCTCCTTTGCCTTAGCTGGTTAATTCCACGTGTGTTCAAGTAGAGGAGTGTGAAGACAATCAGTCAATGGATGTACATACCTGTTTGTTTGTTGTGGTTGCAAAACATGCTACAGATTCCATCTGAGCACTGTCTCTGAATTGTTAGCTGTCACACAGTTCTCCCTGACAGCTCAGACAGTAAAGAATCTGTCTATAATGCAGGAGACCTGGGTTCAATCCCTGGGTCAGAAAGACCCCCTGGAGAAGGGCATGGCAACCCACTCCAGTATTCTTGCTTGGAGAATCCCATGGACAAAGGAGTCTGGCGGGCTACAGTCCATGGGGTCGCAAAGAGTCAGACATGACTGAAGCAACTTTGCACGCACAAAGTGCTATAATTGTTCTTGCCCGTAAGATGGAAACCATGGTACATAACTTGCAGAAGAGCCCATGTTTTCCAGTTCCTGCCACACTGCTTACAGAGAAAAGGGTATCCATGGACTGTTGAACTGCTGTGGGACTTTAGAAAAGGAAGATGCCATGTAGGACTTACCTAAGAGGATGCTAAGGACTAACGCTCTTTACTTTGGCTTTAAATGAATTTTGTTTGGCTTATATATCCTTTTATTTGTTAACAGTGCCATTCACACTCTACCCCTCCCCCCCATCCTTCAGAACTCTCAACCCCTCTGTACACAATCCAAAATCTTCCCAACCTGACGTTTTATTGACAAGTCTTGGCACCTCAGAGGAAGAGTGTGGAAAAATGGTAGCCAGGGCTTTTCTTTTCAGTATTCTGTGAAACGTTAGTGGTTAGTGTAAAATATTAAATGAGTTCACTTTATTTCTTCCCCTCTTCATAGAAGACATCAGTCTCTCCTTGTTGCTCATGGAAGTGATAATTGCTGAATGGTTTCAGATGGTATGGCTATGTATTTATTATGTAACTTGGCTTCTGCGCATACATACCTCTTTCCTCCCCTTGGAGTCATACTAATGCTCTGCATGTGGAAATAAAGGAGCAGAACAGCTTGAGAGCATTATTTATATGCATATATTTTTCTTGAGGTTCTTACTAGAAAGCTCGACCACAATTGTTTGAAGTGGAAAAGGGGGACACATTAATGAAAGACCAACAAAGATATAAAAAATGTGATCCTGTCATTTTAGATACCGCCTGACCAAAATTGCGGTGGACACCGCTGCTGGCCCATATCAGAACCACACTGTGGTTTTCCTGGGATCCGAGAAGGGAATCATCTTGAAATTCTTGGCCAGGACAGGCAACAGTGGTTTCCTAAATGACAGCCTTTTCCTGGAGGAGATGAGCGTTTACAATCCTGAAAAGTGCGTAGAATGTTTGGTTCTTTTTCTAGTAATTATTTGTCACGTTATTATCTTTTCCATTCAGAGAAATCATGGTAGACTTAGATTTCATGCATTTTAGATGACTTTTAGCATTATTTGTAAAAATCCTTTCAAACATTAAAAGCATTATTTTCTCCTTGCTGCTAATGTGTGCGTTTATATAGTTAAACACATTTGTATGTATGTGGGTGCACATATAAGGATCCATTGCTTCTTCAGTTAGATTAGATGAAGAGATCTAACCTCATAGGCTGGGAGCAGATGTGTCAGGTGGTGGCAGGAAAAAGAGGACTAGCCCAAGAGAGACTATGAATGATATTATCCTGCCTTAAAAATTTAGGTGCAGCTATGACGGAGTAGAAGACAAGAGGATCATGGGCATGCAGCTGGACAAAGCCAGCAGCTCTCTGTATGTTGCATTCTCCACTTGTGTGATCAAGGTTCCCCTTGGCCGGTGTGAGCGGCATGGCAAGTGTAAAAAGTATGTATTTGCCTCATTGATCATTGGATGTTCACGGTGCTTAGGGAAGAGTCCTAGGTAAGCTCACAGTCATTCTCTTCCTGCAGAACCTGTATTGCTTCCAGAGACCCCTACTGTGGGTGGGTAAAGGAAGCAGGTGCATGTGCTCATCTGTCGCCCAGCAGCAGGTAAGGAGCCTGAGGCATGGGAGAGTTTAAAGTGGCCTAAACATAGGATTGATTGTGCTCACACACACCACTGCCGCTCGGCCTTCTGTGCACATACCTCATCATTGTGACTGCCAGCCGTTCTCTTTCCTTTTCCCATTTCATAGAATACCCCAACATCACACGTGGCAGACTTCCAATTGATTAATCATCCATCCTCAGACTTAGTAAAAACAGAGAAAAATAACACAGTGGACTTTAAGTATTCCCTGGGGGGAGGGACAAGAGGGTATTTGCCTTGATCATCATAGTGCAAGAACGGCAGAGAAGGGGAGCAGGAGGGTACCAATTAGGTTAGTGATGTGGTCTGTCCCAGCCATAGCAAAACTGGCCCCTGTAATTGACCATCCAGGGCTGAGAAGAAACTGCAGGGCATTTGTTAATAAGCAATGCATTTTTATTGCAAGCATGGTGTACACATCCAATAAACCTCTCTCCCGCACTATGGAACAGCTGACCCTATTCCTCATTTGGGAGTCAATCAATTCTTGGCATTTCTCCAGCAGATCAGCTAGATCAAGCCAGTCTACCACGCATGTGATTTTGGTGCTGAGAATTGTTACCCTGACTTCCAGTGCTTGGATGGTGTCAGTTCAAAGGCTTTATGCTTTTACTTCTGTGGATTTGAAATCCAAAATAACATTTGGAGAAATATTCAGTGCATGTCCCTGACAGGTTATGGCATTTCAAGGAAGATGCCAGATGCCAGCACAGTTCTTTTGTAGTCATTTCTTCACTTCCCCTAATCCACCAGGCAAAAGGAATTGTCCTCCCAACTCAATGGGAGAGTCCCCTCTCCCATCTGAGAATAGCAAGTTAGATAGGACAGCTGATTGACCGCCACCTGCATAATTTGAGGGAAAGTATTCCCATAAACAGAGCTGACGTAAACTGTCAAGTCTGACCTGGAAATCTGGCTAATGCAAAGGGTTGACTCACCATGCAGTATTAGATCAGCTTTGCAAGTAGCAGTACTGACAGATGACAGTGTGAGAGCTTTATAGCTTTTCATGGGGACCTTGAAGCGAAGGAGGAAGGATCACAGAAGCGCACAGTGAGAAAAGCTGAGAAATGACCTATCTCCTTTCTTTAGTCAAGGTGTAACAAAGGTAATAAGACTGAATTTTAAGAATCATTTTTAAGTCAGCATGAGAACCCAATTGTTCAAACCACGTGGAACTCTCCTTGGAACGTGGCCTCAGGACCGGGTGAATCCTGGCTTTCATTACAACTGGAAATCTTTATCCTTTGAGGCTGAATTTGATTTTTGACACAGCATAAAAACACTAGAAACAAACACGGCAGATTATTAGATCAAGGTGTGACTGTCAAAGTAGTTTTCCGAGATGGCTCATAAATAAACTCTGAAGGCAGTTGCAAAATCAGAGTTTTGAGTATGTTGCAGAAAGAAGAGCAGAGTTCCCCCGAAAAAACAAGACTCCTTTGGACTATTCCAGTGTGTTTATTTAAAAATCAAAATAGATACTATTAAGATCAGTCCTTTTGGGGTATAGAGTTTATGCAGCCCAAAGGTAACCTAGTGGACTTGAAAGAATAGTGAACCTGTAAAGGAGAATGAGAGCAATACTCCTGAGGACTGGACATGGGGCCAGGTGTGAACAAAATACCCACATAGTTTCAGCAAAACATACCACTGTGTCCTGTGTCCTCTCAGAGGCCCCTTATATCCACCGACCGCTGTGAACACTTTGCTATACAAAGTTATTTCTAAACAAAGAAATACTTAAAGGTCTAGGAAGGCAAGAGTTGGGGTGAAAGAGAAAGGAGAGAGGAAAACGCTTTTCTTAAGGTATAGACTTCTATATCACTTACATCAGCATGTTGGTTAACATTTAAACTTTTCAGATGTTTCAAAAATGCTCAGGGCATTAGCAGCAAAGAGTGATATAGGTAATCCACAAACTTGTTTACCCCCTGGATAAAACCTGAATTGACTGCCCAAACCATGGCTTCTCCTTGGAGATTCACAAAGGACTCATTTCTATAAACTTCGGAGATAAATTTTCAAGCTGTTTTGTCTACTTTTATACCTGGCACTCAGTTTTTTAAACTGTGTTCGTTGCTTTAGTGAAACTTAAGACACATGCTGGAATAAACTCATATCATTGAATCTGTTTCTGTCTTCTTCTCCCTCCTTCCTTTTGAAGACTGACTTTTGAACAGGACATAGAGCGTGGCAATACCGATGGCCTGGGGGATTGTCACAGTAAGTGGAGTTTTTTTATCCATGCTTGTTTTTGGATATTTAGTCGATAAAAGATGCTTTTATAGAATGGCCTAGAAACATGACCCCACATGTGAAATTGAGTGCAGCTGCCTCTAAAACATGCAAAAATAACATAAATCACCTTCTAAATATCAGAGAAAACAGTGTCTTTTGAAGCCAGAGTTGTCAGTGCTGTTGCTGAAAATGCTGGCACCTAGTTCGTTATCATAAATGTTGTGGAACAAATTCACTCTTGAGGATGAACCTGTAGCAGAACAGTTAGCTATATCAGCATTTCCACTTAAAAACCAGCTTTACCAACACAACACTGTAAAGCAATTTTCCTCCAATTAAAGAATAAAAAACCATTAAAAAAAAAAAAGCCAAAACAACACTAGTTTTGTCTTTAAAAATACAATATTGGCATAATTTTTAGACAAATGATTTTAAAAGTTGATCACTGAACTCTGTTTTTTAAGTTAAATGGGACTATTTTATTTTCTTGAACATATCGATGAACAAAAGTAATTATTTTTTAATTAGACTTATGTTTATTCATTTGCAATAAAAACAAATGTTCAGAAAGAACCCACTAAGTACAAAGTGATTCAAAATACTCTTTTTATAAGAACTGACCTACTATGCTAAATCTCAGGGTTCATTTCAAAAGTTACTCAGTTCAGTTGCTCAGTCGGGTCCGACTCTTTTCGACCCCATGAACCGCAGCACACCAGGCCTCCCTGTCCATCACCAGCTCCCGGAGTTTACTCAAACCCATGTCCATTGAGTTGGTGATGCCATCCAGCCATCTCATCCTCTGTCGTCCCCTTCTCCTCCTGCCCTCAATCTTTCCCAGCATCAGGGTCTTTTCAAATGAGTCAGCTCTTCGCATAAGGCGGCCAAAGTATTGGAGTTTCAGCTTCAACATCAGTCCTTCCAATGAATACCCAGGACTGATTTCCTTTAGGATGGACTAGTTGGATGTTAATATTTTAGTTAGAACTTTATATAAAGGATCCTAGTCACAACTCTGCCCAGCTGTTCAGCGATCTGATTAATATCCATATTCTCTTGAAAATGGTTTATTAACACTAATTTAGAGAATAATGCCATACCCTTGAAAAATGTTTAGTTTGCCATGTTTCAAAACGTTATATGTGATGAATTTTCAAGAAGCTTGCATTCAGAATGGCACCAGAAATAGCTCCTAGGGGAATGAAACTATATTACTTCTGATACTTGATTCGATAATGAAAATCATGGATATAACTCTCCCATCTTTGAGCCATGAGTCCTGAAATGACAGACTCTTAGGTGCCATTTAATACCTTATCTTTTCTAGAGAAGAGACATAATTAAATAAAGAGGGCTTCAGACAGCCTCATCTCCAAATTCTTGGTCATATATATTTTTTGTTTGCAAATATATACTGGCAAAAGCTCCTTCCTTTATCTTTTTCCTACTATGTCCTCACACACAAAATCTGAATTAAGTAGACATAGGAGACAGTGGCATCACCGAAAGATCTGTTAGGCGTGTGCAGCGAAACAGTGTGATGGTGATTGGTGGACCTTAGTCAAGTTGGCGCCTTCCAGTGCCGTTTTTAGGGAAAACAAGCTTTGGTCTGTATGTGTGTCTCTGTGAGTGAACTTAATTAGCTGACGTCAGTGAATATTTTCTTCATATTTTTATGAGTTGATGATAAACGCCTCTGTAGAAAAAACAGGGGTATCGATGTGGGTTGAATAGGTGCACACATGAAAAGTGGGAAAATGTTACTGGCTCTCTGAGGTGTCAGCTACACCAGCAGGTTCACACCGCCCCCGGGTCCCAGGGCGGAGCACGGGGCAGGCCTTCAGGTCCAAGGTTGGAGATTTACCCTCAGTCTCAGGGGTCAAGGCCCCGTGTTTTCGTGTTCCGCATAACCTGACACCCCATTCCCACTGAGGCACATAGGGTGCCTGCTCCAGGTGGCAGGTAGTGACTTTTCCAGTGGGCGCCCACTGGAGCGTGACGTACCTCTGTTAGTTGTTACGTAGTCACATCCAGGCGTTCACAGGACTTAGATACCTGTCGCACAAGGACTCTCTCACAGAAGTTTTAGGGGAAATGAGAAAAGCATAAAGAGCCAGTATCAGAGGCTGAGGAGCAGGCTGAGTGAACCAGTGACATGACCCAGATACACAGCACATACTTACATGTGTGCGTGCACACAAACAGGATGTTGTCTATATGTGTGGTTTTTATTTTTGTTAATTTCCTAACTTAAACCCCTGCTGAGGTCAGAACATTGTGATACTGGATGGTTCCTCACAGCACAGTTGGGAGGATGAAATGAGAGAGAATATAAAGAACAAGTGCTTCGTAAGTGTGGTCCAGACGGGACTCATCTTATCCATATACACGTCCTTCCTGATGAAGCAGGGCTTATGTCGAATCGCAATTACCTAGCCCTGCACTCACGCCTGCTTTTTCTCTGCCTCTTGGCAACAAAGACATGACTTTGAGGAAACCCACTTGGTAAAGAGACACAGGGATATGAAACTGAACCAAATATGAAGCATCTTCTGTTACAAGCAGAAACTAAAAAGCACTTACTTAGTATAGGCCTTGTATGTTAGCACAGCTCTGAATCCACTCATTCCCACTGATTACAAAAGTCACATTGAGCAGAGTGTTAAACATTAAGTAACTCACCCCTCCCTTTTGTCTTTCAGATTCCTTCGTGGCACTGAATGGTAAGGAAGATGTTACTGATCATTTAATAGCAATGAAAATCTATTCGTGAAATCCTATTTCACTAACCCTCTTGAGTATTTCCAAATCTTATGTTTCTTTTTCAATTAACTTTTAAATTCTCATTATTTTTTATAGACATTTCAACTCCTCTACCAGATCATGAAATGTCTTACAACACAGTGTATGGTCAGTTTATGGTTTGGTTTTGTTTTCTTAGTCTTCGGGCCACTCACCCTGTGGTAGTTTAGAGCTTTCATTCCTAAACATCATGGGCCAGATCCTTTGCTACTTCAGGGCCCCAATTCACTAAAATTATTCACAGCTTTCATGATGCTTCAAAAATTTCTCCACATATATGAGACAACTGACATGTGAGAATGAGTCTTACATTTTTAATCCACATAACATGAAATATGCCAACCTTAGGGAATTTGGTGAATGCATTTAATGAGTTCTTGAGGGAGAAGAAATTGCTTTTGGACATAAGTACAGCCAAGATAAAAGAACAGTGCTTATAAGTAATAGGCCACAGCTCCTTACCTGATAGATGGTACCATTCCCCAAAATGCTGACTTTCAGAACAACATCCTCTGCAAGAAAAATCCATACAGAATGCAGATACCAAGTTCTTAATAGGCAAAACTTTCCAATATAGCCATCAAAATTTAATCATACATGGAGTATGAATTTTTAGACCTATCTTCAGTGATATTTCTTTAAATGTATATAAGGAAGAGTGATGCAGTCGAAATGATGTGCAGACAGGATCTATCCCATTGTTCCTGCTCTGAAATACACAGACACTATACTAAATAAAGCCCATAAGTCCATAAACAGATATTCTGAGCTCTTTATAAGGAAAGTTAATATGTAGTTGAAATGTTCCAGTTTCTTTTCTCAAAGCTTCCCCAAATGTTTATTAAGGTAAACTATTCATGTGGGTTTTTTTTTTTTAAAGATAATGAACAGCACATATGTAACGGTAAATTTAAGCTGCTGCATTATAATGGGGACTACAAGTTTCATTGATACGCAGACATTTTATCATTTATTTTTATGTTTTGAAATACATAACAGTAACAGCTCCAGGTCAGTCTTTCAACGTAGAGGTAGGTAACAGAGGAAGAGAACAAAATAAAGGAAAGAAAAAAGAGGAAGGAAAAGAAAGCAAGGTAGATTTAGAATTCAGAGAAGCAGTTCCTGATGACTACAAATGTGTTTAATAGCTCCGTGGAAACTGTCATGCCTGTGTCTAACTAGCATCAATAAAATGCCTCTTTGAAAGTCCTAAAGTCTATCTTATAAATGGCGGCTGTACAGAGACGGAAAACAACACCCAGTCTCTCCTGTCATGAAGTAAGGCAGTGTGGAGTCAATGAGCCCACTGAATTCATCCCCCTTTAACCTGCTCTCATCTCTGATTCAGGCCAGAATATTGAACCCCAACAACTGGGAGAAACATTCCTCAGGAGGCAAGTCATGTAGCTCAGTGGGCCCTTCAGAAAGAGAACCAGTTAGCAGCTGCTCTTTCCAATATCATACTTTGCAATCATTTCCTATAATGGAATAATATTTACCAGATATTGAGAAATTCAGGTCTCAGATCTACTTGAACCAGCAGCCTACTGAGCATTCATCTGTCGTACTAAGGCCAATTTTAACTCCCAGGCAGTTTCTCATATAGATAGAATAATTAAAGCACGGGATGCTCTTGATGAACAAAAAGTACTCTTCAGTTTATGGATCCCTCTTCCTGCTTTTACAAAAGGAAGGGAACTTATTAATTCCTCCACATTAACACTTTAAAGGACAATCCCCATTCGCTGCATCAGTGGTTTCTGTGATGACACTGAAGAAGAGTTGGAATTTTCCTTTCAGCTAATAATTCTGTCCATTTCAGGCTCAGTCTTCCCATTGTAAAGTGGTTAGATGATTAACTGACCATCAAAATGAGGGCTGGTTCAAACAGTACTTACAAAAGCACAGGAGACTTTCTTTACACAAACTACTGCAAAAGATGCTTATTTTGGAGCTAATACACCTAGAAGAGATTTAATTCATTCATTTGCAGACAGCTGCTTAGGGCCTACTATGTGCCAGACACTGGATAGGGTACTCTTTTTGTACCATCAAAAGAAAAACCAAATTGCTGTTTTTATGAGCACAGATATAAACAAGGAAGCCAACCTCAAAGTCCAAAGTGCACCCACTGTGTCTAGTATAACACTGAAGCTCAGTGGCTGAGTACAATCATAGGGTAACCCACAGAACAAGAACTGCCTAACTCTGAAAAAAAGAATTACTCAATAAACCATGCAAACTGCATGGTAGAAGCTCTCTGCAATTCCAGTTACATATACAAGGACCCCTTTTTAGTGAATTGGACCCTGACTGTCTTCCTCCTCTCATCCTCTCTTGTATTGATTTAGTGCCTCCTCTGTGTCTAATTGGCTACCATCACTGTTAATAGGTTAGAGTAGTTTGAAGGGTTTCTAACCTGTGGAATTACTAATACAAAGACTTGTAGATATAGAGAAACAATATGATGCATATTGGAGTCAACTTTTAAAATCTGTTTCTTTGAATATTGTAAGAATAATACATAATAAGCTCCACTGATTAAAATTATGACTTTTCGTGTTGGATTAACAAGACAAAATTATAGGTTCCAAATTGTTGACCTGTAATACCATATCCACAAATGATTGCCTGTTTTTGTTGCATGATTTTGGTTACAGAGTCTCTTAGGGAATGCACAAAAACAATATAGCCCATAGAATCAGACTCTAAGAAGAAACATGAGTGATACCTATTTAACAGTTGGAGAGGTTGTAATAATAAGGTCACAATAATACACTTCTTTGATTTCAAATGAAGGACGGCTGCTTACGGGTGCTTTCACATGGTAGTTCTAAAATTCCTGAGAGTCAGGCACTGCTTTCTCCGACTATCTGCTTCCACCAGTGACACACACTTTCTGTCCTCGAGCATACATTTCAAAGATTACAAGCCTCATGCTGCTCTATTTTTTCCTTCCATTTGAGTATATACGATGCATGGTTTCTCTAGATTTACATGGAGAAAACGGAGATGTGGTGGGTATTAAACTAACATTTCAGCAATAGGCAGAAGCTGATTTCTCACATTTGCGTGCAACATTTTCCTACCTAACTACCATCTGGTCCACACTAATTTCCTCTCATAGCCATAGCTTTCCATTACCAATGACTTTTCCATGTATTTGCAACATATGGTCCAGGAACTCTTTTCTACAGAGAATGTGTCCCTTAGGCATTTATTTCCCCTAGATTACCATATTAAGAAATGTTCTCCCTAAACCATACTTATGGCGTTACCATAAAATTGCCCCTTGAACACAGTTAAATTGAAAGCGCTCAAAATGCATATCAATTCAGGTAAAAGAAGTTCTTGCTACTTGGAGGAAAGGCTTCATTTTTCCTCCCCCCTCTTTCTGACTCTCTACAAAGCTATTTCTCACTGTTTGGATGCTGAAGTCTCTCTTAGGTTGACAGTATGTTTCATAAGAGCATGGTTAATTCAACAGCAGAAAACAGAGGCTATATTTTAGACCTCAATATAAGCATAAAGAAAGTAAAAGAAAGTCTGCATTTCCAATTCCAAGTTATTAATTTTCCTACTCATGTTCTCTTATCAGTATTGGGAGATGAAATGTGAAACCCAGAAATGTAAAAAACAAAAAATCTAGATGCAAGCATTCTTGAGTTTTAAATGAACATGTTTTTAGCAGTTGGATATGAACTAGACTCTTTGCAGCAAAGTGGATATTTGAAGCTGTGTAGAAGCCAAACAAGCCCTACACAGAAGGCCTCTTAAATGTTACTAAAGCTTTGTGGTAACATTTTAAATGTAGAGCTCCCACAGAAATCCTATAGCTTAGATACCCACTTGGTTTGCTTGCTTTTCCCTGCTTTATTCACACACACACATTATATATATAACCATGTATGTATATGGTTACATGGTCTGTAATTTACAGTATTAAAGTCTCCTGAAAATCCAACTTGCAATAATAATTGTGAAAAAGAAGAATGCAGTGCATTCACTAGAATCTTTCTTTCTGGTGGCCGGCATTTTATTTATCACATGTGTGATGATCACAGCCCAAGGCTGAGTCACTTGTGAAATCTGTCCTACTTTCTACCAAAGGCATCAACTACACATTCACAGTAGTTCCCTGATGTCTTTTTAAAAATTGTTCAAGAGGTTGCTTCTATAGGTAAGATGGTTTAATAAGCCAAAGACTCCACTTGAAAATCACAGAGAGGTTATTTTTTATTTCCACCAGAGATAACAGGTAGTGGGGCTTCTTTAAATCATTGTGACAGTTTAGATCAAAGCGCCAGATGCGATCTGCATTTAACCTTGTGGGATGATGGAAAGGAAGGCTTAGAAATGTATTCACAGGAAATGTCCAATTTCTGCCATAACTCCCAACCTGGCCATCCTTCTTCTGGCATTATCCTGCGGTAGGCGACTCTGGATCTCAGAAAGCTCTCCCTCCCTTTCTAGTCTGAATCATATCAGTCATGGTGGCCTCCAAACCCACCTCTGACGGGTATGAGTCAGGAGACCATGAAACTTAACTCGGTTTGAGTAAGACACAAAAGGCAAAGCCATAACAAGGCAGAACATTTAGCCCTGTATTCCAGGCAGGAGGGCTGGAGCAGCTCCCTTTAGAAAGCGGAATGCCTGTGAGGCTGCGGCGCAGCCGAATACTAGACACGTCCTCCATGGGAAAGACTCGGGGCAGCCGAGTTGTCTGTGACAGGGCAGAGACTCACCCACAACCGTACACCTGCCCCATCATCATGACTGTTACCCCGGAGTGGACACGTTCTGCCTTAGTGCTACTACGGGAATACCCAGGGACTCTGATATTTCCTGAGCACCTACTATGTGTCAGACACTGCTAGGCACTTTCAGCATGATGCCACTTTACCCTCCAAACATGGGAGGCCTCTCTTTTATGCACAAGGAAAACCAAGGCCCAGGGAGCTTAAGTGATTCCCTCGGGCTCACCCAGCAGGCAGCAGAGACAAGACCTGGCCCTCACCCTCTAACTGCAAGTTCAAGGGTTCTTCTGCCGAATCCTACCACCAGCCTTGTTATGTCTAGGGCAATCTCCTTTGAGTCTTTTACCGCCAGCGTGGGTGTCCCACCTCCTGGCCTCTGAGCAAAGAAAAAGCAGGTGTCTCTGGTGATGTCTCCCCTAACTGTATTTGTAATGAAAACAGGGCACTCCAGTTCCCTCTTGCCCAGCACCACCACGTCCGATTCGGCAGCTCAAGAGGGATATGAGTCTAGGGGAGGAATGATGGACTGGAAGGAGTCACGCGACAGCACAGACTCTTTGGGGGCAGTGTCTTCCCATAATCACCAGGACAAGAAGGGTAAGGCCTTGGAAGCACCCCTTCCTCTGCGGGGAGAGGGAGGGAGGAGCGGGGAGGACTGTGTAACTGCTTCCAGCTGAACCACAGCAGCGTTTAAGGAACGGACCTCCAACACACTCTGATTGAAAGCGTCTCAGAAAAGACTGCAACCCAATCCTCTGTGCTAGGCTTGATCCAAAATGATTCCCCGACCAAGGAGAAACCACACAAAACAAATAACACATCCTCTAAGCTTCCTCCACCCAAGAGAGGCATGGCTTGGCCCAAAGTGGACACTGGCTCCTAAAGTCCCTTTCCACTCCTCTTAGCTCATCCAGTGATTTTTGGATTCTCTTTTTCCCCCCATAATAAGATGGAATGCAATGCGGGCTTTGGCAAGTACATGTAATTGCAGTCAAAGCCCGTTTAATCAGTGAATGGAGAAGTAGCAGGGTAAAGTCTTTTCTGGCTGGTCCCATCCCTCACCCTTACATGGGGCTGAATCTGAACAGAGCCGAGGTTCTGAGATGCACTTAAATCGCCCTTAGAGGACAACAGCTAAAACAAAAAATATGTTATTTAATCAAGCAGAATTGCTATGCATTTAAAATGGAAAGGAAGCCACGGTAAATGAAAGGGACTCTACTGTGAACTGTCCTAAATTCTCCCCAGCTTTCTTTGCTAGAGACTAGAGACAGGAAATGTCATCTCTTTTCTCGCCACTTGCTGCTTCTGGTAACACATCTTACTTTAGTTGCAGCTGCAACCGAAGAGGCCTTTACTTGTCCAAAAACAGTCCTGTAAATCAGAGACTGAAAAGCTCAGTTATGTTGTGAGCTGTTTCTCCCCATTCAGCATTGTTTACTTCTATATGTTTTCAAGAGTTTCATCCAAGCGGGGGTTTGAGTGTCGAGGGCAGACCAGCTCTGGTGACCTTTGGAAGACAGGCTCTGTCGTGTCCTCCCCCACAGGTTTCTGTATACATACTTCCATCTCTGCTTTTAGAGAATGTTTGCTCAGCAGACTCATGCCAAATTTTCATCCTTTTTTTTCTGGCGGTTCCTCTCCTGAGAATGCTGTACACTCAGTCGCTACATGCCAAGGCACGTGGGACGATGCAGCCCTTTTAACTTGTTAACTTACCCCCTTAATCGATTTTATTATTCTCCTGTAACTTCTTACTGCTAGTATGTCCTGCCCCAATATTTTTTTTCAAAGAAGCTGGTGTCTCGGCAGCCACTTAAGTTGGTGGGATCCCTGCTCTTCACCATCTCAAGACAGCACCAGATGCATTTGTGTCAGGGCAGAACTATCTCCGCAGGCCATACCAGTCCTAACATGTGCCTTTATTTGTTTTGTGTGGCTCCCAACCACAGATGTGTTAGTCTTGGCCGACTACTCAAGGAGAGACAACACAGTAAAAATCACATTGTGTTTCCCCACTGCGACTTTCTGAAAAACCAAACAGCCTTTCCAGTAAAGCATTAAATATGTCAACCAAATATCTAGCAGTTGGTTATAGTCATTTCCTCCTCACTTCCCCGAGACGGATGGTGAGAATTTTCTCCAGTCGTTAACTCTCCCGGGGGATGGAGGTTATCAAAGAGTCCAATTAACACTTTGACAGATCATTTGAAAATTCGGCATTGTTCATTCTCTTGGGTCTTATTATGAATATTGACAAAGCTGGAAGCAGTCTACAGATTGTCAAACAATGGTGGCAGAGGTGATTGCATGGGTGTTTAACATGATCACTATTCTTGTGCTATTAGCTCTTTGCCTTGCCCTGTCAAACTGGAGCTTCATTTTTTTAACAACTGAGTATGTATTTGATGGGGCAAGGACAACGAGTTGTTATGCCGAAAGTTGAAAAATAAAAAAGTGATGTAGCTTAATGTTCCTTTTGCCATGATTTTTTATGATTTTGATTTCCATTTTGCTCTGAAGTGTTGTTTTTTTTCTGTTGAATGTTTATGATTTATTTCCAACTTAATGTTCATGATTTATTTCCAACTTTTCTTTGGTTTTGCCAAGCGCTGTGTAGTATGACTTGGTGATGGCGTGACTCTGTTGGAAAAGTCTTGTTTCTTTTCTGACTCATGATGACGTCCTTTAACTTGACCCAATCTGTGATCCCCTTGCTTCTTTCCATTCCCTGATGTGGGTGCCTTGATGATGTCACATCCGTGCGTGCAGCATCTCCTGGGATGCGCGAATTTCGTGGGTTTTCTGCGGGCCTCTGGTGGGTCCTCTTTTCACTGGGCCAATTGTCTCATGGGAATGTGACATTTGTGTGCCCTGGCTTTAGGAGCTAAATATACTCTGGAATTGTTTCTAAAATACCACACATTTCCCCGCTAAGCAGAAAATGGTATCTGCTGACCAGTTAGCTGAAGAGGAATCAAGTGTCTGGTGCCCTTTTTACTTTGGCTGCTGGGGGGAAAAAAAAAGCCAGTGAGCAGATGAGCCTGGAGCTCTGCTCTGCAGAAATGCTGAGCACCACTGGGCTGGTCCCCTCCTGGTCTCACCTCATCTTCCAAACAGTTCTGCATTTCCAGAGTATGTTTGCTTGCCTTTTTCTTTCTTTTCCTTGCTGTGTCTTTCGTCTTGATTTAATTCTGTGCGTCCCCCACATTCTGTCAAAGCACCGTTCCTCACCTTGCAATCTAACCCCCTTCTGCTACCATTGTTCAGCCTCCCCTTTCCAAAATATTAATAATAGATGCCAGCCCTCTGCCCCTCTGTGGACCATTCCAAGGCTCTTTCCTTCTACACTGGGGGGAGCGTTCCGACACTGTTCGTGTATATACAGTCATGCTAACAAAGTGTGAGAAGAGACCCGCGAAGCACACAGAAGCATTATCACAGACAATGAAGTAATTTTCTCTCTCAGTAACTGGCCTTGCCCTTCATTACCCTACTGGCCTTGTCTAATGTCACTTGTCCTTGTTGCTTTTCTTTAAAATTGCCTGATATCTTTCAAGCCCTAGATTCATTAGGAAAAAACACAGCCAACTGCCCTGTTTTATCTCTGGCTCCCTAGATGTCTGGAGCCTCTACAAGCCAGCCCTTTAATCACCAAGCTGATAAATTAGAAGCAGCCCTGGCTACTTCTTTCTTGGTTTTGCCACATTTAAAAATATATATTATTTATTCATCCTATAACCATTGAGGTAGTAATGGGTAGTTACAAAGAGGCTCTAATTACCTATGAATAAGAAAGAAAATCCAGTTTATTTTTAGATTTGGCTTGTCTCCCCTTACCACCCCAACCCCCCTTCCCACAGCAAAAGAAATAAGAGCTTTCTTTTCTAGGTTAAGCAACAGTGAGAAGTAATAGCCACTCTTGTGCCTCGTTTCTGACCCAAAGTAACAGTCCTCTAAAACCTGATTTCCAAGAAGACTGCAAGAGAGGTGAGGGGACTAGCCATGGACAGCTCTGCCAAGAGAGCTATGGAGCATAAATGTCCAGTGGACACATGGACCACTGCCCCAAGGACACAGGAATAAACAAATTAGAAGAAAATCTCCTTTCTAGAGTTCTCGTGAGCTCTCAGAAAGCTGATGAAATAGTCGATATGTAGAAAAATGTTCCCATTGGATTGGAAATGCCAGAACTGTAGTATGCATATATATTTTGGGAAATCTTTGAAACAAGTTATTATCACATTATTATATTTAGTCACAAAGATGTGCTCAATTCAGACCAGGAAAATATGTAGAAACAGAATTTAAATTAGAGATCAAATGAATAATTTAAACTAAAATGTACAGCAAATGCTGAATATATTTTAATCAATGTACAAGCTGTTTTGTAAGCAATTTTTAGTCTGGGAAATAATATTCCAGTAAGATTCAGAAGGTCTATAAAGGATGCTGAGTATACTGTCCATACTTTCTAACAATCCTGAATGGAACTACATAAATCATAGAGTTTATCAACAATCCTCTTTTACAGCCAATTCTTTATTCCTCAAGTACATCATAGCCTCCAAGGAGGACAGGTCACATCTTACAAGAGATGATTTAAATGACTCAGAGACATCATGGCCTTCAATACCAAATCATATGGTGGAAAGTTAATGCACTTGTTATTTCTCCTTCCATCTTCTTGATTATGTCAATGCAAAAGTCTGTTTTGTGTTTTAACAACTCCTGAAACTCACCACTGTCCTTTTGAGAGGAAAGAACAGGCTTTAGATGGCTTTGCCATGCAGCTGAAGCTAGCTGGAACTAACTCTGTTTTATTTCAGTTAATTTGATTTGGGGGTTTCCTAGGCGGCTCAGTGGTAAAGAATCCACCTGCCAAGGCAGGAGACACAGGAGACTCAAGTTCGATCTTAGGTCAGGGAGATCCCCTGGAGTGGGGAACGGCAACCCACTCCAGTATTCTTGCCTGGAGAATCCCATGGATGGAAGAGCCCACGGATGGGCTATAGTCCACGGGGTCGCAAAGAATCAGACACAACTTAGCAACTGTGCATGCAATTTTATTTCTGTGGTTACCTTCTAGTTATGAAAAGTGACACTTTTTCCCATTTATGATAATGATGTAAACTTTCCACCTGAAACATATTTTAAAGGCAATTTAAATAAAATACTAAGTAAATGCTGATGTAGGAAGTAGAGGGATATAGGAATATTAAAAGTAAATAACACTGTAGTTGAGACTCCTTGATTTGCAGCACTATTAGCTGATGACTAAACTGTGGGTAACTCTGGCTTGGAGCAATTAACAGAGTCCAGTGAGGATTAAACTACCACCAAAACTGTGCTTCTGGCATTTGGAAGAATGAGATTAAATGAGGGTGCTACCTTCTACTGGCTGGGCTCTGAGCGCTTCAATTACATGATCTAGCGCTCTCCTGATTTCTCTTCCAACTACAGAGTTTTGTGATTAGGGATGAGAAGTTTGGTCAAGTAGGAATCAAGAGCATCATAGATTTAGACTAAAAAGAAATTAGTCATCCTAGGCTTGTTAAGCATCTGGCGAGATGCTTTCCAGACCAGCAGTGAGCATC